TGGGAGTGAGATTAGGGTTGAGCTTCCTCCTGTTTCCATACATTTACCCAGTTGTCGCAGCCCTGTTGGTTGAAAAGACTTGCTACTGGCCTGTCTGGCGATTTCTGTTGACGGTCAGCTGACTGTGTCTACATCCTGTTCCATGCCATCGATCTATTTATGCCCACGCTCTTACCGTCTTAATCACTGCTGCTTGGCGGGGGGGGAGCTTTAAATCACATGGTGTGAGTTCTCTAGCTCCAATCTTTTCCAAGGTTATCTTGACTATTCAACTTGGGGTTTCCATGTGTGCGTGTACACCTGAGCGTGTCAAATTGTCAACGTACGTATGTTTAAATTGTGTTGGGGTTCGGATTGGAATTACCTCGAATGTACTGGGTTGACTTGTAGAGAACTAACGTCTTTACAGTATTTAATCTTCTCATCCATAAACATAGTATACTTTTTTATTTAGGCTTTTTAAAATCTCAGAACTATTCTGTGTTCTTAGTATACCAGTCTAGCACATCGGCTTCATTAAATTTATTCCTATGTGTTTTGAATGTGATCATAAGTCATATTTTTACATTTTTTAAAAGATTTTATTTATTTGACAGAGAGAGATCACAAGCAGGCAGAGAGAGAGGAAGGAAAGCAGGCTCCCGCTGAGCAGAGAGCCCGACGCGGGGCTCGATCCCAGAACCCTGAGATCATGACCTGAGTTGAAGGCAGAGGCTTTAACCCACTGAACCACATAGGCGCCCCTAAAAAAGAGATTCTTTAGGATTTCTGTAATCAGTATGTGGACAAAGACAGTTTGTTCTTCTAGTCCAACCTTTTAATCATTCATCTTTGCCTTCGTGCGAAGGCCAGGACCTGCGGTGTGGTGTTGAATGGGGGGATGAAAGCGCTCGTGCCTGTTCCCGGCCTTGGAGGGGAGCAGCCGGACCACGGCCGTCAGGTGGGCCATCTGAGGAGGTTCCCCTCTGTTTGCTGGAATGTTTGTTATGGACGATTATTTTATTCCATCAGTATTTTCCTGCATCTGTTGAGACGACTTTGGCTTTTCTCCTTTATTCCGCTAATACGTGCATTTACAGATGGCCGATTGTTAAATCAACTTTGCAATCCTGGGCCCAGCCCCACTCGGTCATGCTCTGTTATCCGTTCAAAATGTTGCTGAATTCAACTGGCTAAGAGTTCGTTCAGGCATTTTGCATCTGTGTTGTGAAGGGAACCGATGTGTACTTTTATTTTCCTCTAAGATGATCTGTCGGATTTTAGTACAACATGGGGCTGGTCTCCAGAATGGGTCAGGAGGTGATCCCTGTCGTTCAGACGGACTTGTGTGGGATTCTAGGACTCCGTGCTTAAGAGTGCACTAGAATTCACTGTGACACCCACAGGGCCCGGGGTTTCCTGGGAAGGTTTTTGACTAAAGTCAATTTCCTTAATAGATGTAGAAGTATTAAGATTGTCTATTTCTTCTTGTATAATTTGTACATTTCACCAAATTTATTGCCATAAAGCGGTTCCCTTACTGTTTTGATGTCTAGAAGATGTCAGCCCATCTCTTGTTCATGGTAGTGGTTATGTGTGTCTGCTCCTTTTCTCTTGTTGGTGTTATGAGAGTTTACCAATTACTTTACAGAACCAACTTTTGGCTTTGTTCATTGCTTTCCATTTCATTGATTTTGGTCTTATCTTTGTTATTTCCCTCCTTTGCATATTTGGGATTAAATATGCTTTTATTTTTTGTCTATATTTTCATGATGGAAGTTTAATTTTAAACCTTTCTTTTGATAGAGGCACTTAAAGCAATAACTTTTCTCTAAGCACTGCCTTAACTGCATCCCATGAATTTTGTATTATTTTGATTTCCTGTGTGATATCTTTATTTGACCATTAGGTTATTTTATTTTTTTTTAAAGATTTTATTTATTTGAGAGACAGAGATCACAAATAGGCAGAGAGGCAGGCAGAGAGTGAGGGGGAAGCAGGCTCCCTGCTGAGCAGAGAGCCTGACGTGGGGCTTGATCCCAGGACCCTGAGACCATGACCTGAGCCGAAGGCAGAGGCTTAACCCACTGAGTCACCCAGCGCCCCAACCTTTAGGTTATTTGGAAGTAATGTTTAATTTCCAACATGATTTTAATTTGGGGATTTTGAGGGAATTGCTGCTGTTGATTCCTAATTTAAGTTTGGGCTGGTCTGAGAACACGTCCCGTAAGACTTAAATCTTTGCACTTCATGGTCCAGCATTTGATCTAGCTTGAGGAACACTCTGTTTGCTAGAAAAGAAGGGGGATTCTGCGGTGTGGGGTGTAGCGTTCTGTAATGTCAGGTCGCACTGGCAGACGGTGACAAACTTTGTGTCGTCACTGAGTTTTTGTTTACTGGTTCTCCCACTTACCGAGAGGAGGGTGTGAAAATCTCCCGACTCCTAGTGTGGATTCGTTCTACCATGTTCACGTCCTGCCTGTTACACACAGGATTATCACCTCTCAGGAACTAGTAACCGTCTCAAGGACCTGAACTGCCTTTCTCACATGCGCACACTTCAGCAGGAGGCTCTGTCTTGACGGGAACCGCGGTGCCGCGACGGTGCCGTCTGCCTGGTGTGCTTGCTCCGGCTCTCCCCGCTCTCCCCGCCCCCCACCCCACCCCAGCCCCAGCCTCGGTGTATTTGAAGTGTGTGTCTTGTAGATGACGAGTGTGTTGGTCTGCGTCTTCTGTTCTTCTAATGACACCTGTCACTGCCTTTAGGGCCCGCCCTAACCCAGGATGACCTCATCTAGAGATCGACAGGGCCACACCCACAGGACATGTGGTCAGGACATGGACTGGCCTTTCCGGGCCACTACAGCTGCTATCACGTGCTTACAAGCTCGTTCTGAGCATTTTCACAGGTGCCCAGTAAAGCAGCCTGGCTAGAGTGTTCTCTGGGCTGGTCCTGGGCCCAGCGGGGGAGTGCCCTTATTAGTCGCCATGCCAGCCCAGGAATTCCAGGACTAGGGCACCCAGCCCCTCTTTTCCGAGGCAAAGAAACCCAGAGCTCTGGAGTCCTGCAGGCTCAAGGCCACACTGCAGCCCCGCAGTTAGTAGCGCAAGTGAGAAACAAGCTCCCGAGTGTCTGAGCCTGAGCCCCTGGGGACCCCAGGGCTTCCAGACGTTTCTAGGCAGCAGACACAGCAGGGCACCTCTGCCCGGCTCTCTGGCCAAGCCCTCCCCAGCCCTGCAGGGAAAGCACCTCATCTTCCTAAGGAACCTTCTAGAAACGGACGGAAGTCAGTCATACGCTTTTAATTCAGATGTTACACTCACATCCGATTCCAAGGTTGTCACTGAGAGTGGCCAACGCGTTCGCATCTTCAGAGTGGCTCCTGACGACCAGGCTGAGGGACCATCTGTGCAGTGTCAGCGGGAGTGGGGCAAGCCTGCCACTGGCGCCGTAGCCCAGGGCTGCACCCCAAAGCCAGCTTTCTCTTCTCTTGTTCAAGATACGGCTGGAGCACTGAAATCCTAGTAGCCTGGCTTCCCATTCAAGATAAACACTTTTTTTTTTGGTACCAACTTAATTCCAGTTTCTGGAGCCAAGGCGGGGAAGGCATCGTCTCACGGATGGCAGCTCCCGTGGGGCTTCCCGTGACAAGGCGTTCAACATGGACCGTCCCCCGAGCACAGAGGAGACGCTGAAGGCAGAAAGTGATCTTTCACCTTAACAGCCCCCACCGGCCCCTCTGTCACTGTCATGTAAGATCTTGGAAATTATCACCAAGAGTAAAGGGAACGAAAAGTCGGCATTAAAGTAACTGGAAGTGCGCTTCGTGTGAATCCAGGGCAAACCCCAAACGGCCCCGGCTTACTTTAGGAGCTGTCGCCCACCAGCGAATGTGGGGAAAGTGAGGGTCTCGGACATCAGCGTTTAATAAACGAAGGAATTTATTATCGACAGGTAAAAATAGCTGGTTACGTGTGGACTGACAATCAATAATTTATGAGTGTTTCTGACCGGATTTGACTGTAATTTTTCACATGTTCACAAAAGCAGAATTCAACCTTGTGTCCTTTGCTATGGCAGAGTCTCCCTTCCAGAAGTCAGGAACACCCCTTCTTCGTAAGCACAGTCACGGGGGCGTGAGCCCACCTGGCTGTTCTCTGCACCACATTCCCAGAACACCCCAAAATCTGGGTCTGTGATGTGGACCACGCAAACCACGTAAGTTCTGCAGAGCAAGGCCTGGTCTAAGCTTTCGTCTGGAGGCTCCGGACACTCTGAGCTCAGCCCCATCCCGGAGGCTGGCAGATACCCTCTGACCTTTCAGAGTCAGCGAGGCCTCTGAGTCCGACAAGCCCAGGGCAGAGGGTCCAGCGGCCCCATCTGAGGCTGAGCTCATGGTGGGTCCATCGGGGGACAGGGACAGACCCTCATTTGGTGCTGTCAGGGGGATGCTCCCTCCTGGACACTGAGGGAGGGACATCTCAATATTATAGTAAAAATGTGTAAGAGGTCTTTTTTTGCAAATACTTATTTATAGCTAATAAGATCATTTCAGATAAATAACGGACCATCTACGGCAATAGACAAGATGCAGATGGTTGAAATATATGGGACTGAGTGGCAGCAACGTCACTAGAAAATTCGATCATGGATGCTCTTTTAGGTGGAACTCCTCACCGGTGACCTTTGGTAGCACAGTCTCTCTAGGTCTCTTCATTATAAAGACTGGACATTAGTTAAAGAAACACAGACCTGGCCTCAGCCCAGCCTGGCCACACACCCTGAGCCCGGTGCTGTCCTGGGTCACCTGCTCTGAGCGGGCCCAGCAAGGGCAGCCACCAGTCTCTTTAGCCACAAAGTTGTCATTTAAAAAGCGCCTCCTCTCACGCACGTGCTGGAAATAAGCGGTCAGCCCAAGGCTGTCGGTCCCCTCGCTGATGCTCACTGTACACTTGAACGAACGAAGCAGAGGAAGCCACACCAGGGACTTGAGGTCATGCGTGATGGGGCTGAATCACTTTCCTCCCGCTCTGGTGCCGGCCCCTAGTCGTGAGTTCTGGAACTTTCTAGACAACACACAGGGTAACCTCACGGCAGAGCCTATGAGCAAGTTGATCCAGCTGCCTGCCGGAGAAGCACCCCAAGCTGGCTGCTGGAATCAGGAGCGCGGCACACCGCCCTCCCCCACGGGGGGCCGGACTGGCTCCCCTCCCCCACCTTCCTGGGGGGGGGCGCCGGCAGGGGCGGGACACAGCGCTGCTCAGCACGTCCACCCACGTTTACTCGACTTTCCAGATGGCGATCTTCCCCTCCCCACTGCCCGACCCGCTCAGCACGTATCTGTCCTCCGCCGAGCACAGGGTCTTCACCGTGTCCACGTGGGCCACCAGCTCCTTTTCCACCGTCTTCCTCTCAGCGTCAATCACGTAGATTTTCCCTTTGGACTTGCCCTGGGCCAGGCCTGTGCCACCTACCCAGATCTGCCAGGGAGAAACGGAGGGGGCGTCGGCCACACGCAGACTGTCCCGGGAAGGGAGACCCCTGGAGGTGTGCTTTACCCAGTACACCCCCGAATCCGAGTCCTTCCTGGACAGGCCGCGAGGGGACGCGGCCAGGGCGAGAGCTGGGACCCGGGGGGGGGGGGTGCGTGGCTCCCCGCCTTACCTGCTTCTTCACCCTGATCATGCAGCTGACCTCGGAGCAGTCCTGGAGGCGGACCGCCTGAGGGCGCTGGGTCAGGTCCTTTAGGCTCCAAGTGTAGACGCTGTCGAGGCCAGCACAGGCCGCCCAGAGCTGCTCCTGCTGAAAGACAGGTCACGGTGTGGCTGCCGGTGGCCCTCCGCCCCGGGGAGCCCGCCCAGACAGACGCTGCAGCCCGGACAGATACCTCCGGGAGGAGCTGGAAGCTGAGGAAGGACGTGCTGATGTCCTTGAAGTTCTCGCTGATCTTCAGTTCCTGACAAAGGAGTCCACTGGACGTCATGGCCACGATACTGCTCCCGGTGCCTGCAGAAGGAAGGGCGAGCGTGAGGCCCGGGGGGCGCACCCGGGCACAGGGATGAAGCCACTCGAAATGTCACCTGGGCAGCTGGCAGGAGCCGGCATCGGCCGAGTGCGCCCAGCAGCCCCGGGGGCCGTCTCCCCGCTGTGACTGACGGGGAGCCCGCCGCCCGCCGCGCCTTCCGAGGCCCCGCAGACCCTGTGGGATCACGTTACCACTGGGAAGCCTTCCCCCACCGAGCCCCAGCCAGTCCTTCTCCCGTCGCAGATGAGAATTCAAAGTGACAACGCCACAGGTCGCCAAGTGCGTCTCCATCTGTGACTCAGACAATGTCTGTGACCCGAAAGCCGCTGCAGCTCGACAGCCTCAGGCGGCTGGGCAGCCCGAGACTTGCCCTGCTGGGACGGCGCCCTGGCCCCTGCACTGAGGCTGCCGCACCAGCACCCGGACACGGGGGCAGGCAGGCGCCGCCTCGGGGGCTGCCCCAGGTGGATGCACAGGGAGGGGGAGCCCGCAGGCGGCCGCAGGTCCCCTCGGGCACCCCTGGCCGTGGTTGCCCCAAAGACTTGGAAGCTCAGCGGGGTTCTCAGTCATGGAAAGCGAGAGCTGCCCTCACCCTCTCCTTCCTGCTTCGACGCTTGGGTCAGGGTGGTCTCCCCCAAGCAAAACCTGGTCCTGCAGATGGCCTGTCGGCCAGCTGCACTGTTAGCCACTTGGACCAACCGGTGAGGCCCCTGTGATACCGCAGCTGGCCAGGAACCCCGGGCCCGCCCCATGGAAGGCACTTCTGGCCCCCAGGGCCCCCGTCAGTGCACTGGACACAGAGCCCCAAAAGGGGTCCTGATAAGAAGGGGCCCAGGACAGGACGAGGCTCAAGAGGGGCTCAGCAGGACAGCGACAGAGGAGGGCTCCCGTCCCTGGCCCCTCGCATCCCATGGCCGCTGACGAGCTCCGCCGCGCGAAGGGCCATACTCTAGTTCACTTTGCAAATGAAGACACGGACTCCAGAGAGGCCGCAGCCTGAACCACGGCGGGTGGGAACAGGTCTGCTTCGCCCTCAGACGCAGAGCCCGAGCAAGGGCAGCCGGCCACGCAGCCCTCGGGGAGGATGCGGACGTCCGAGGTGGCCTTGCTGGGCTAGAGAGGATGGCCACAGCCCCTCAGGCTCACCTCACCAAACGCCTGGGGAGGAGCGGGGCGCACCACCTGGCCGGCCCTCCCTGTCAGGCCTGCCTCCGAGCACACACGTGCACACGCGCACACACGTGCATGCACTCTGGAGATCAAGCCTGAGACCTACGTCCTTGAAGAGAGAAGTAAACTCCTACCAAGTACCCAGACCCAGGCTCTCCTTGCCGGTGCTTCCCGGTTCTCCACAGGACCCCGAGGAAGAAGCGTTCTCGCGCTATGTCACGGTCCACCTTGCTCAAGGGTCTGGTTCGGGGCTGCCAATGTGGCTGGGAAGAGAAGGAATACCCCCAAAATGAGGGAGCCCAAAAATGTACGTATAATTCTCAAATCCTTGGCCGACTCCTAAACTGTGTATAAACAGAGAAGGCAGAAGCAGAACAGCTCAGAGTTGGAGCTCATCCAGCTAGGAGGGCTGCATACATACCGCAGGCATCCCCTTGCGACCCCAAAAGAGCCACGCTTACGGAAGTGAAGACCACACACGAGAACGTGTGTCACGTGCTCCAGGACTAAGCTCAAAAGTGAAATGTGTTTAACCCAGAAAAGCGGAACACCAAGCCTCTGCAGGATTAGGACTGGCCAGTAAGTGATTCAGTGACCTTTCGGAACAAAGCCTAATGATCTCGAAAGAAGGCTGTAATCTGCTCTCCTAGACATGTCCACAACAGCCAGGATATGACAAGAACTCCTGCACACGTGACACACGAGGACACGAATGCAGCAGAAGAAACAGCACACAGAAGCAGACCCACAGATGACTCAGGATCTGGCAGAGAACAACCTCGACCCACAATTACAAATAAATTTAAAAACTCACAGGAAGATAGAGGACGGGTGGAAATAAAGACTTTAGAAGAGAAATGGAAATTTTGGGGGCTGAAATGAAAATTTGCTGGACAGGTCCAGCAGCAGACAGGACACTGATGATGAAAAGTTAAGGTCTTAACCAAGCTAAACACAGGAAAGGAAGGAAAGAATTACAGCTGTGCGGAGGCCTGGGCGACATGATCAAGTAGCCTACTATGTTAGAACATTATTGTATATGTTTACATCACGCTCTGATTCTAGAATACGTATGTGTGTATACGTTCACAGACACACATACATACACACACAACGAAAATCCCAAAAGACACGGAGAAAGGATGGACAAAAGAAATACTAGAAGGGAACAGTTAAAAGTCTCCCCCGCTCATGAAAGTAAACCACAAGTGAGACAGATGAGAAGACCTTCACCCCTGAGCACGCTACAGCCTGACGCAGCCTCAGAACCCAGACACGATGTGCTCAGCCGAACAACAGGAATGACTTCTCGTCAGGAACACACAACCTACATGACAACAGAAAGAGATTTCTAAACCGTGGGGGGATCCAGTCCGTCAGCCTGGAATTCACTTACAGCAGACTCAGGTCATAAGAAATTCTAAGGGAGATGTTTAATGCTAAGGGAAGCGATGCCCGAAGGAAACCACGAACGGACTTCTCCAGAAGCGGTTAAATGTTCGGGCAAAAATCAGTACTTATGCAAAAACTTTAAAAATATTTTCGGAAGGGGGCACCTGGGTGGCTCAGTGGGTTAAAGCCTCTGCCTTCGGCTCAGGTCATGATCTCAGGGTCCTGGGATCGAGCCCCGCATCGGGCTCTCTGCTCAGCGGGGAGCCTGCTTCCTCCTCTCTCTCTGCCTGCCTCTCTCTGCCTGCTTGTGATCTCTCTCTGTCAAACAAATGAATACAATCTTTAAAAAAATTTTTTTGGAGGTTTATCACAAAAAAAGATACTGCTTTTAACAACAGTCGCCAAAGGGGCAGGAAGAGGTCAATGGAATTGCCGATGCGGCCGTGAGCTCCCTATGTTCCGCATTCAGGCTGCTAATTGCAATCCTTCGAGCAACCACAAGAAAGTGAAACCAAAAAATGGAGAGCTAAGATGACACTAAAGTAAATTAAATATAAAAAATTCTCCTTTCCTACCTTTAGACGGAGTAACAAAAGCAAAGGGGGAAGGTGGGAAAGGGAGGGGGTGCAGGGGACGGCGGCCTCCCGCGTGAGCTGTCGGCACGGCGCTCGGAGTGAGCAGACCGGCACGCGGACATTTCTGCACAGCACACGCGCACACGCAGGGCACACGCACAGGGCACACGCGCACCGGCACATGGCTGGGAAGGCACTGCGGCCACCGGGGGGGCTGCCGCCACACACAGCCACGAGGGCGTCGACGGTAAAAGCCAGCGGGTTTGGTGAAGATGCCAGCGACCCAGAACCCTCCTACGCGGCTGGCGGGAGCGCCACGCGGGGCAGCAGCTTTGAAGGAGAGTCTGACGGCATCTCTAAGGGGTGAACACGGGGTCACTCGCGGGTGCCGTCGCGGGTAATTGCACAACCACATCGACCTCCCCAAGAGGAGCTGGAGCCAGACATCGCAGGTGGCCTGAGCACACGAGACTCGCGAACCGCGCGGCCATGGCGTCCATGCAGGGAAGGCCCAGGACAGGTGACACGGCGGCAGAATCCACAACGGGTGCCCTGTGGGCGGGCGCTGCCCGGGACGCGGTGCAGGGGAGCCTCCCGCGGTGATGGAGACGCCTGGGCCCCTGGGTGGTTCTGTGGTTGTGCTTCAGTCCACAACCAACAAAACGAGGTCAAGCCTTTTACCTCATGTAAAACAGGCTTCGAGTCCAGAAAGCTGCGCTCGTGACCAGGGCCCTGGCATGTGGCACAGCCAGGGAAGGCTTGGGAGTGCAGAGGATCTGGGAGGCTCAGAGATGCAGGACCCGTGCCTCCAGCCCCAGCCCCTGCTTGTCCCCGTCACAGCCCGGCAGGGTGCCCGGCCGATCTCCACAGACACTCCCGGGGTCTGGGTGGAGACGCGCCTGGCAGGGGGGACGTGGGCCACACACAGAGTGACGGGGCCACAGGGGGCTCCTGGAAGGAGCAGTGATGATTCCCGAGGCACGAGCTGTATTCACGCCCCAAGCAGGGCTCAGCGAGAGCAGAGGCGAGCAGGAGGGAGAGGCAGCAGGTGGAAGGACGCTGGCGTCCTGGTGGCCGTGGAGGAGGCCTGAGAAGCCGCCAGCACGGGAGGGGAGCAGGGAGCCAGCGAGCACAGAGCAGGCCGAGCTGGAAGGTGGGAAGGTGCACAGCAAAGGACGTCGGCCGCGAGCTCGCGTTCCGTCTCCTCTTCCCGGAGCGGGGCTCCGGCACCCGGGGACGGCAGGGGCCCGAGGACTTACAGCACCAGAGGCAGCCGTCATGCAGGCTGATGGACGAGAGCCTGCCCCCGGGCAGCTGGAACCTGTCAGTCACCCGCAGGGTGCTTGCATTCCACGCCAGGACGGTCCCGTCCGCGCTGCTCGAGTACACCTTGCTGGGGGTGTGAACACAACGTAAGTTCGGCGGCAACACGCCCAGAGCCCAGGGTCCCCGTCCCGTCCCAGCAAACGCTGCCCGCTGGACAGAACAAGTAGTTAGGATGGGACCCACGCGGCAGGCGCGGGTGGTCTCCTGAGGGTGCCTCTCGTCGCCCCACAGCGTCTGCTGCCTGCTCTGCAGAACCGTGACACGACCACGGAGTCAAGTCTAGCCCCTGACGCAGGGCACCAGCCGGTGCGAGGCGCGGCCCCTTCACCTCCCAAGAGTGATTAATCTTCAGCTCAGTTCCTTGTGTTCTGAGCCGGGCCCCACTGAGGACAGGCGGTGCCCCTAAAACTCAGGGGACAAGGCATGGAGGAGAGCAGCTGAGCTGGGGGTGCCTGTGCCCCGTGACCGTGCTCCCGGAGCCTCCGCCTCCTTCCTAGAGGGAAATGGGACCCCTCCGCGTTCTCCACTCCCCCTGGGCACCTGCTGTGTGCCAGGCCCGGTTCTAAGCACAGGACCCACAGCAAAGACAGAACGACGGGTGCCAGCCTCTGAGCAGACGTGCTGAATATGGCGGGACAGCGGAGGAAGCAAATACACCTGACAGCACTGTATCCCCAAAAAGACAGGCAGGAGTCCTAACCCCCAGGACGTCAGAGTGCGGCCGTCCTTGGACACAGGGCCCTCAGGGAGGCATTCGAGTCAAAGCTGACGGTGGGGCCCGAGCCCAGCGTGGCTGGCGTCCTTACAGGGGAAACTGTGACGCGGGCAGACAGAACCGTGTGACGTGTGTGCAGCCGCGGGCTTCGGGCAGACGCCCAGACACCAGGAGCGGGCGAGCAGGGCCACGTGCCAGCCGCGCTCACCCTGCATGTGGCCCGCAGGAGCGACCCGCTCCCCCGTGCTCAGGGCCAGCAACGAGTGAGAACGTCACCCAACTTGGCTCATGACGGACCTGCTTGCTTCGCTCTACGTGGCCGGCCCGGCCTCCGCAGGCAGTCGCCCACCATGACTGTGAGCCCCTCCGGCTCGGGGCTCGCCACCCACCCAGGAGCCCCGGGGCCCCTTCCCCCCGCAGAGCCCGGTGGTACCTGGGCGTCCCACTCTGCACGGCCAAGTCTGTGACGCTGGAGCGGTGGTCGGTGAGCTGCTTGTTGCAGGACATGCTGTGGACGTTGATGATGTAGATGACCGAGTCCTCGGAGCCGACCCACACCTGGTTCTGCTCCGCCATCACCATGCAGTTCTGACACAGGGCGGGGAGAGACCGCCGTCGGCTGCGAGGGCCCAGCCTCTGCCTCGCTGCCCCCCCACCCCGCACCTCTGCTCCGGGTCACACGGGAGCCGTTCCTGTGCACGCTGGTCATGTTTTGTCCACGGACCAGTGTGTAAACTTGTTATGTAGTTTTTTTCCCCAAGATTTTATTTATTTGACAGAGGGAGAAAGAGCAACAGAGGGAGGAGAAGCAGACCTCCCGCGGAGCAGGGAGCCGGATGTGGGGTTCGATCCCAGGACCCCGGGAGCATGACCTGAGCCGAAGGCAGACACTAAACCCACTAAGCCACCCAGAATCCCAGTTTTATTTAATTTGTGAGAGCGAGAGCATGAGCTAGGGAGAGGAGCCCGCTGAGTCACCCAGCCACTCCTAAAAATTGGTAGTTTTAATTTTACCAATAAATATTCCCATAAATTAGAAAAGGATGCTAGCTTACTAATTTCAGATATTAATCATTTGAAAAAGCCCTTTCTAGGGGTGCCTAGGAGGCTCAGTCGTTAAGTGTCTGCCTTCAGCTCAGGTCATGATCCCAGGATCCTGGGATCGAGACCCACTTCGGGCTCTCTGCTTCGTGGTGGGGGGTGGTCTGTGTCTGCTTCTCCCTCTGCCCCTCCCCCTGCTTGTGTTTCTGCTCCTTCTTTCTGTCAAATAAATAAAATCTTTAAAAGGAAAAAAGTTTACTTGTTTGATACCAAAAACAGTAAGTATTAAAAGAAAAAAGAAGCTCTTTCTCTTGAAGTATCTGAGAACTGGTATAATTTTAGTAAATGTTTTTCTTTAGTGGCCCAAAGATCCTTCAGATAAACTGCTGTGAACGTCAAGTTTCAGAAGAGACAGTGTCTTCTTGAGATAACGTCCGAGTTTCTTTCTTGTGAAACGGGACGGAGTATCTCAGGAGGCGAGCAGGAGGGTGTTTTCCGGGAAGCGGGGGAACTTGCTGCACTGCGGGGATGTTGTTACTTGGCCTGCCTGGGGGCAGCAGAGATGGCCCCGTAATGTGGCCTTTTGATTTTATGTTAACTAGGATTTTAAGTTATTCTCTTGTTAACAGGTCACTCGGGAATGCACATCACTAAGATGCCACAGCAAAAATCTAGACTTGAATACACGGGATTTCCTCAACTGCTGTTTGTTTGGGCTCGAGCACTACTGACCTTAGTAAGTATCTTATCTAGACCCTGTTACTTTATCGGCTGAGGCTCCCTGTGTGGTTACGGGGGAATAATTCAGTAACCTCACAGTCTTGCCAGCGTGAGGTCTGCTGCCGGTGCGGAGAAGAATGCGCCCGGCCCCCAGCAACATGCGCCTGAATTCATGGTGTTTCTGTTGGTCGCAGCCATTTGGAAAGCCCAGACTGGGCCCCAGATGGCCACATTATTTTAAGTGATGGGACGTGGCCACCAAAGTTGACACTAAGTGATGCTGGACGCTGGGGTCCCTAACCCCACTGGACTGTTCTCATGTTAGAGGAGGAAGGAGGGGAGGACGCTGGGGTCCTTAACCCCACTGGACTGTTCTCATGTTAGAGGAGGAAGGAGGGGAGGACTTTCCAGCAGCACCTCCCAGGACAGCAGCTTCTTCGCTTAGAGCGTCCCGAGCAGATGCCTCCCACCAGGCAGTCGGCGGGAACGTACCCTGAGCTGGGGGGTGGTGTGGAAGCAGACACAGGGGAGCACGTGAAACGTGCCCACAATGGCCCATTGCAAAAGCCCTGGTGCCTGCGGGCGCCCCACTATGCAGCGCGAGATAAGACCTGGTTTCCAACCCCACAGACGTGAAAACATGCACACGTCTGCTTGGGATAGGGGACGCGGATACGAGACAGGACCCCGGATCCGCGTCACTGACATCCATGCTCGGGTTCCAGGCTGGGGGGCGGCTGAGCCACCGTCTGCTCACGCACGGACATTAACAGGCAAGAACAGGTGTGCGGCTAGTGCAACCAAACAGGCCGATGCTGTCGGGCAACGTGTACCCCACCACTGTTGACCGGTGGACGTGTCCGTCCTTCTGGAACGCACGGCCCGACCCGGGTAGCTGCCACGTGGGAGGGCACGGCACTCACTCACCACCTTGGAATTGCCCGCTTTAAAGCAGTGCTGGTGGACCGTCCAGGAGGAGGCGTCAAACACGGTCACTTTGCCCTCGCTCAGAGCACACCACAGCTTGGGGTGGGCGTCCTCCACTTTCTCTGCTGGGTCCAGATGCCCTGAGGGAGGAAGCAACCCAAACACGTCTTTAACGGGAAGCCGGTGACGTCGTTCCTCGGGTGCCGCCTGGGGCCCTGCGTATGCCAGGCCCGGTGCCCACGGGGGACACGCCGACTGACCGAGAACAACACGGACAGCGGGCAGGGCCCCCGGCCAGGGTGGCTTCCCCGAGCCAGGGTGTGGAGGATGGGTGGGCGGTCACCAAAGACCAGCAGCCCGAGTGGGGACCGGGAGCAGGTGTGCGCCGGGGATGAAGGCCGGAGGGCGGGCGGCGGGCGAGCCGGGACGGGAGCCGTCGTGCGGCCCCAGTGCGCGCCCCCACCCCGCGCCTGCTGCGCACACGTCCCCTGGCTGCAAGTCCCCACACACTGCATCTCAGCCATTTGAACGGTGTGAAGATTCTGGGTTCGGGGCCGTGATTGGCCTGCACTCCCCTGACGGCACAAACGGCCGACAGCTTTCATCGCCGCGGAGGGCGTCTTCTGGGGGCGGGCGTTCTGCTCGCTTGCCTCGGAGCTGGCCGGGGCTCCTCTCTGCGACTTGGGCCCGTTGTCGGCTCTGCTGTGTTACCAACATCCTATCCACGTCCGGACGACCCTGTTCACTCTCTTCAAAGGGTCCTTTGTCCTTTTTTTTTTTTTTTAAGATTTTATCAGAGAGCGAGTGAGCGAGAGAGCACAAGCAGGGGGAGCAGCAGAGGGAGAGGGAGAAGCAGACTCCGTGGAGCAGGGAGCCCGATGCGGGGCTCGATCCCATGACCGTGAGATCATGACCTGAGCCGAAGGCAAAGGCTTCACCGACTGAGCCCACAGGTGCACAGAAAGTGTCTTTTTAAAGTCCATCATCTTCACAGTCAAATCCACCAATGTCTTCCTGGCTAGCACTTCCGCACGGTTTCCTTCTCTACCCCAAGGTCAAGATCATGGCCCTCTGTGTTGGCTGCTATAAGCTTGCCTGCGTCACTCGTTTACACTCGTCAGTGCCTCCCCAGGTACCTTCCCGTCCGCTGGGAACTGACCACGTGACCTGAGGTGCGGCCAAGGGATGCAAGATGTCCCAGTGTCATTTATGGTGACGACTGCCTTTCCCTCAAACCCCTGCTCGGTCACACCCCCTCCGGCACTGATGAAGGAAGCGTAAGTGTGTCGCTCTCTCTGAGGTATTCATCCCATGGCCTCCGGGCCCCCTTGGGAGATGCAGCCCCACACAGTCAGCCCCACCAGGGACTGGGACGCTTTGAGGCCGGGCGGCGGCGCCGGAGAGCTGGCTCCGAAACGCTCGGGCAGCGCTGGAGTCCGAAGCCACCACTAACAGCTTTACCGGGCTCCCCTTCTCAGCAGGTCCTGACTGGGCTCTGTCCTCCTCCACGTTCCGTCTGTCACTTTGTGGGGTCCTCGTCTGCTGGGAAACAGCTTTGCCACTGAGCGGCCATTTGTCGCCCTGGAACAGGCGAGCTGGGGGATGCTGTGCAGGCAGAACTGAAGGGACAGGGGAGCACGGCGCGGTGCTCATGGTCGCTCACCGCGCCCTCCGTGAGCCCAAGCCAAGCGCCCAGACACGGGTTCTTTCCCGCCCAGAATGAGGTCCTTCGTTTCCCAACTCTGTAAGCCCGCGAGCAACCCTCCTGCCGCAGTCCCGACAAGGACGGCTTCCGTGAAGGCGTCCTCGTCCCCGCTCAGGCCTGCAGCGGCGCCCGTCCCTGTCCAGCCTTCATGCTGCCGCAGCCTGCGGGGAGCCGGGAGGCCCGTGTGCGGGAGTCAGGCTGCACAGCCGCGCACCATGAAGATCAGCCGTGTGCGCGTGGGCTCGTGTGCTCGGACGCGCCCGCATGCCCACAGCTCGAGGCGAGATCTGGGGCGCAGCCGTCGGGACAGCAGGCCCAGATCAAGCGCCCTCGGAGGAAAGGGTGTGAGTGTGAGCGCTGTCCAAACTGTAGAGCGCCGTGCGGCATGAGGGACTGCTGGGCAGAGTCCCAGTGGGGTGCCCCCCAACTCCATATCAGTCCCCATGGGACCCCAGCTGCCGCCTCCCTGATGCGGTGGGGGGTTTCTGCTTGTTGAGGTGAGCTGGGCAGCCACTCATGGACTCGACCTCAGGAAAACCAGAGCTGGGGGAGCCCGCGGAGACCCCAGGTCCCCACGGACCCTACGTCACGTCCTGTCCCCCTTCACGTCAGGGCTGACCTCGGACACAAACCCAAGGTCCTGGGAGTGCTGAGAAGGGCAGCCAGAAGCAAGCGGCTCTGCTCACCTGGGGTGTACAACAAGACGTCCACGGCATGGGGCAAAGTCTCTCCCGCCGAAGGATTTATCTTGTGCTTCAGGGTCTCTGAGGTCGTCTTTGGAACCGCCATGGGCACTGAAACCCAAGTGCTCTGTTAGCATCCTGTTCTCCGGTAAACTCTCTGCTCTCTCCAGGAGCTTCCGACGCTTGGCCCCAGACCAGAGAGTAAGGCATCCCCGTCCTGGGGCCCTCCCCGCCCCCCTCCGAGTGCGGACCACGGGCAAGACGGGGACGCCACTCACATCCCAGCTGGGAGGCAGTGTGACCTCTGTCTGCACTTGGCCATTGCTGATTATCCACTAAAGACAAGACCTTAGCTGTTTCCCAGTGACGGAACCAAGACAACTAGCCCAAGAACTGTCTCTCAGCCTGGGCGCCGTGGCCATCTCCAGCCATGGCTGTGGCAGCTGTGGGGATGGACCCAGGCACTGCGGAATAGCCAGCAGCAGCCTGGGCGCCCCAGCGGATGCCACGCACCCCCCAACCACAGATGTCTCCAGCCTCCCCCAGTGCCTCCCCGCCGAGTTGGGTGCAGCACTTCATAAGTTTAACTTTTAGACCTTCCATCCTGAGCAGACCCCAGGCTGCTGATGGAAGCCGGGCTTCCTGCCTCTATCCTGTCATGCTTTGCTCACCCGAGAGCAGTTCTTGTGGGTGACGAGGGGTCAGGGACACTGAGCCAAGACCACCCGCCTTGACCGCATGGAGCCAGGTGGACAATTAGAGCAAGCCGGCAGGCGCTGGTGGCCACCAAGGTGACGGTGTGCCTCGTCTGTAAAGGAGTCAGAAGGCTCTGGCAGAGAACTGAGATAAAGAGCTGAACTGAGTGTCTGATTTTGTTCCTAATGAAAAAAATAACAACCGCTGAGACACCTGGGTGGCTCAGTGGGTTAAGCCTCTGCCTTTGGCTCAGGTCATGATCCCAGGGTCCTGGGATCGAGCCCCACGTCAGGCTCTCTGCTTAGTGGGGAGCCTGCTTCCCCCGCTCTCTCTGCCTGCCTCTCTGCCTGCTTGTGATCTCTGTCAAATACATAAAATTTTAAAAAATAAAAAAATAACAAGCCGTCAATGTCTGCTTCTAAGACTGTTGACAAGAGCCCCTCCCAGGCCCTTCTGTGGGGGTTGCAGTGACCAGAGCATCCTGCCTGCTCCCAGAAAAGGGGGTTCTGGGATGGGGGTTCCAGGACAGTGGGGGGAGGGTCTGCGATACAGGACGGGGGATTCTGGGACCAGGCAGCATCAGCGATCCCACAGACGGTGACAGACGTGGCAAAGGGCGACATGCACCAAAGCAAATCAACACTTAACTGAGATGTGTTTTTTCTGAATCTGGAAGAACATTTTAAAAGCCAGCGTCCCCAGCTGTGTGCCCAGGAGCCATGACAGCATGCGCAAACAGAATCCACCCGCGCGTGTGCCCAGCATTATTTGCAACAAACAACCCACATGGTCAACAGACGACGGTGAGCCGAGGGGTCCACCCGCACAGCGGCGCTTAGCCCCAGGACAGAGTGACACGGGACACCTGCTCCAGGACAGGCTCTGAAAGCAGCTTAAGGAAAGACGCCCCTCTCAGAAGGACACGTGCTGGAGGCGGCGCGTATGAGAAACACCCAGAACAGGCAAATCCAGAGAGAGAGAGAGAGAGTGGCTCAGTGGTTGCTTGGGGCCTGTGTGGCTCCTACGTGGTACAGGGTCTCTTTCTGGGGCCATGAAGATGTCCTAAAGTTCCCTCCGGTGATACTACACACGACCATGAGTACGCTAGAACCACAGAGCTGTGCACCGTCCCTGCGTACGGTGTGCAAATTCCGTCTCAGCAAAGCTGTGATTTAAGAAAACAGCGCATACAAACAGGACTAGAGATGGTCTAAAGATGTCCCTCCGTAGTTCGCCTGTTTCATGAACTTGATGTTGTTGGACCTAACACAGGGCGGCCACGGCTTGGAGTGATGGTAACAGGTAAGCAGTCCTCCGTGTTCTCTCCTTTATGCAAATCACAGGACTGCTGGCTTTTAGATCATTTAAAAATTGAAGCACACAGAAGTAGCTAAAATAATGCATAAAGTTGTTCCTACCCATTTGCTATTTCCTAGACTTAAAAATCCACCCCCGACAAATTAAAACAGCCCATGCGACCTGTGTCTGTATGGCTTCCAGAATGTGAGAGCCACGTTCAGTGTGCACGCAGGTGATCAGAGAACTCCTAACGGGGGAAACTGACCACATCCAGGGGAAGAAAAGACCCATCCACCCGGGGACCTCTGCTCGGGCTCCAGTCGATACACCACATGCACACGGCTCTCCGGGGGGGCGCACTCGTGACACACAGCGACCTTGCCAGGGACTCCGCGAGCCACTCAGCAGCCATCCACCGATCCCCACCGCACATGACCAGCTACCGGAGAGCTGCTGCTGCAACTAAGAGCCCCGGCAAACAGCACCCAGCGTGTGTGGCACATCACTCAGAGCTCAAGGGGGAAGCACCTCCGTGGGTCCTGGTAGGTGCAGAGCGCCCCGGGAAGAGGAGAGAAGGACGCGTGTGGCGCAAAAATACATGTGTTAAAGTGTAAAAAGGGAAAAAGTGAGACATTCAGGATCGGTTCTAACGTCAGCCAGATAAAACTACGGAAGGCACAGTCGGGACACCAGGGCTCTGTCGCACACAAGCTTTGCTTACTTTCGTTCTTCATCCTGTCGAAGTAAGACAGCTTAGAGGCCGCGTAGATGGCGCCGGGCGACGGCAACGTGCCCACCACGGCGTCCATCAGCAAGACGTGCGTCAGCGCCTGCTGGATGTACTGCGGGTCCTGCGGGAGAAGGCACTTGTTTCAACGCAGTCAGCAAAATGCCTGCCAGGCCTGATGACATTACAGCCAACACCGCCTTCAAAAAAGCACATTTGTCCAGGCCGCTCGGACGGCGGATGTGAGGGGCCGATGTCACGGGACTGCTTTTGTCCGTCCGAGTTAAGACAAACCCTGGTCATTTATAGCCGGGGTCGGCCCATGTGTTCTGCAGCTACGTGGGCTCCATGGTCCTTGGGATTTCTGTGGCAACCGCTCAGCTCTGTGGCCACGGCTTGAATAGCCAGAGACGGTCTGTGGCCCACAGGCTCTCGCTGGACTGTACGAGTTTATGTGAAATAAAGCAGCGGGCATAAGAGCAGATGGCTGGTCTGAAAGTCACGGAACATTCCAAACCCGGCAAGGCCCTGGGCCCCCTCCCCGCTCCAGACAGACGATACCCTCCGTAGCCACAGTCTGGGCCCTGGTGACTCCTTCACGAAGGCCAGTGCTCCCACCGTGGGCGTGTCTGTGCTTTCTAATGTTTGCCCCTGGGGTGGTGGCTGCCTCCCCAACCTTCCCCCTGATGACTGGGGGCCATGCACCCCTCTGCAGCCCGACCTGCCCCCCGTGTGAGTTCCCATCCACGCTCTGCGCACGCGGCTGCGGCTGCTGGCTGGGTCTAGACAGCCAGACCCTCTGCCCCACCAGTGCCCCATCTGGACCTCCGTCCACGGGCCCTTCGTGCCTGCACCATCCTCACTGTGTGTACTCAAAGCCACCAGTGTGGCCCAAGTCACTGAAAACATACAGATCCCTGGGCTGTAAGCGCAAGTCTAGCAGATGATGTGCCCCTACCAGAACTCTAGTCCTGGGGGATGGGGGACGGGGGGGCAGGGGGTGGAGGAGGAGGCGACTGGAGCAGGGGGTGCCCGGAAGACCCAACTCAGACCTCGGAGTCCGGCCCCTGTTCCTCCAGTGTCCCCAGACGCCACTGGCCACGCACTGGCCATGCAAACCACGGCATCTCCAGTGCCTCTAGAGGGACCTCGTCTAACCCGACGTGTGCTCATAGGGCCACACCCGAACCCCTGAGACGAGCCGGGGGTTGGGATGAGCAGGTGTGCACGCCCGCAGACCTTGTGGTCGTCAGCCAGCTTCTTCCCGGCCCACATCTCCTTCACCATCAGGTGCCACAGGTCACACTCCGTCTTCAGATTAGCCTCAAACACTTCTTTCTTGGACACCATTTTAATTTTTAAAGTGGGTATTCTCAGAAGCAGAAAAGCTACGGTGGTACTTCTCACTTCCTGTGGAGGCAGAAAAAAGAAGAAGCAGGTAGAGAGATGTCCCCTGGTGGGAACTCGGGTCCACAAGGGAAGGTGGCAGAGCGGCAGTCTGGAGATCCTCCTGCCCTGTGCGCACACGCGCCCTGTCCGCACCTGCCTGGGCCCTCAGCAGCGGCCACCCGACCGGGAAGGCAGGCCCAGGACCGAGGGGGCAGAGCTGGGGCTGACTGGGGCACAGGGCAGGGTGCCCCAGGCGGAGCCCAGCCCCGGGCGGGAGGAGAGGGACGGCCCCGGAGAGGGGCATCCGTGTGACCCTGCTGTCAGACACCAGTCCCAGCGACTGGACCCCCGCCCATGTCTGAGAGTTCACAGGCTTTCCTGGCCAACCAAGGCCATGACCTATTGGCACAGCCGCACAAAGGCTCTCGTCCGGTTCAAACAGGGTTCACTCATTCCTGCCTCCCGAAATGCTCCTCTTTCTTTGGAATTCCAGGAGGCAGTCTGTGCAAGCCCGTGTGGGGGGCTGGAGGACGGGGCTGGGGGGGCACCCACAGGCCACCTTCACCGCGGCTGCAGTACCTTCCTGCCTCTCCGTCCCCAGCAGTATTCAGAGCTGGATTAACACATCTAACTCACCTCTCGAAGTTACACATAAGGCTGAAGGGGAGGCCGGAACCGAGTGTCCTCAGGGGGGAAGATGATCACATCTACACTCAAAGGGCCCCTCCCAGCAGCAAACAGCGCGGGCCGGCTGGCTGCACTCTTACCTCTATGTTCCTGAAGGTGGAAATCTCCACGTAGCCCGGTCTCCCTTCCGTCAGGAGGAACAGGCGCTTCTGGGTCATGGCGATCTTACCCACGCCGCGGTTCGTCTTGACAGAGCTTGACAGCTTGTACACGCACTCGTTCTTGTCCAGGTGCTCCATCACCGACAGAGGCAGACTGACCTCCTGGGCCTCTGCTTCTGCCTCTTTCCAGCAGTTGTAGAAATCTTTGAATGTTTCTGGATCGATCTGTTTCTCGTGTCCTTGGTTTGGTAGAGAAGACAGATTTCTTAGAGCTACATACACAGCCTGTGCCTGGCAGATGTCTGCCCCCGCAAGACGGGACACTGTCCACAGACGCCAGCAAGGGGCGCCAGCACCCAGGTCTCCCCACCCCAGCTGCCCATGCCCAGCGCGGGCATTCGATCCCGGGGAAGGGGACTGCTGTGTGGCCTGACCCCGGTGGCCACAGTAACTCTTGGGGCATTTTTCACAGTGTCAAAGCCCTGGGGCAGCACTGGACCCAGTGGCAGGCATCCCAGGGCCATGAGGGGAGCTAGTCCTCAGAGGAAACGAATGCTAAACAGACCAGATCCTTGGTGACCCTCCTCCACCACTGGATCAAGCCTTGCCTGAAGCTAGCACTATCTCAGTATTCTTTGGTTATGTGAGCAAATAAGTTATTTGTAACCAAGAAGAACCTGATACAGTAACCTTTCTAAACGCCCAACAGTCATGGGCTCTAGAGTCAAAGAGAGACCCAGGTCTGGAGCCCAGCCGCCCTGGTTAGTGGTGGGACTTCAAGCAAGCTGTGTAAGGGACCTGCCTGCTCATCCCTACAGTGGAAATGGGACCACCCCAGTCCCACTTCACCCGACTGCCAAGAAGTCCGGCCCACTCTGACCCCCACGTTTCCCTGTGTCTGCTGCTGCCTTGGCCGGGTTCTGCCTCTGCTCTCATCCCTCGGTCATGCAGTGGGTCCCCTGCCCCGTCCCATCCTGCACAGGAACGAACACCCGCACAACCTCGCAGCCTGCGGCCCTCAGCACCCGGAATGCCCAAGACTCAAGAAGGCGCTCCCTCTCTCGCGTTCAAACACTTCAGGGCTCCTCGTCTACATCAGCCCCAAATTCCTCCAGGACGGGGCCCCTCTGGCTCTCCACACACCCACATTCCAGTCAGACCAGTATATTCTGAAACAGGCCTACGTCACATGCCTCCGCACACACTGGCCCGGGACGTTTGGGCCAGAGAACTCTTACGCGTTCTATGCAACATCCTGATAAAACCGCAGGGATGACCATCTCACATGCTCCCTTCCCTGCCACGGTGGCTGTCCCAGCTGGGCAGCCGCCAAGCTGCACACACAACTCACTTCCACACCGCTACACACGACACAGGGCCCCTTCGACCCTCCCATACCCTCAGGAGGCCAGTACTGTTGGCAGCCTGTCCACAAATCAGGAAGCCGAGGCACGGGGAGGAAAAGCGTTGCTGGCAGGGCGGGTGGGTGGCCGTGCCATCCTGCCGTGTCCTCCCTGCCCGCCCGCTGGATGCTGGATCTGAAATGGCCAAAAGACACGGAAAAGGTCCAGGGCAGCCACGTCCCCACTCCAGCTCCAGAACGTGGTGTCGGGACGGTCCCTCGGGGACGTGGCTATCACGGCCACCCGTGAGTATGGCCTAACTGAACTGTCCCTGCAGCTGTCAGCAGGCCTTGGCCACCACCCCCTCTGGGACGGCAGTGAAACTGGACAGTGCAAGCCTGCGGACACCACGCGTATCCATGAGCACCACATGTCAACCGCGCACTTGGGGAGGCGCCATGCACCACCACGGCTCCTGCATGCGCCCCTGTAGACAGGTCACATGCACTTGTCCCCAGGTCTGCCCAGAAACGCTGGCTGTTCCCTTGTGTGCCCCATCACCCACACACCCCCCATCTCGCAGCGCGGGCGGCAGTCCGGGCCCCAAGCTCACACACGTGGCCACCTCCCTGCCCTGCGGCCTGTCAGGGGCAGCTAGCGGTCCTGCAGTGTCAACACCAGACTCTGAAATGTCTATTAACATGTATGACGACACGATAGCGACAGGAATCTTCTGTACAGAATCTCAGATGTGTTCTTAGACCACAGCAATTCGTTCTAAGACAGTAGCGCTCGTCTTTGAGCTCACGGAGCTTTTCTGACACGCGGCTGTTAGGCTGAAACGTCCATCTGGTGTTGCCTGTGCTACAGCGGCTCACACGTCCCAGGGTCGGGACCATTAACTCATTTTGTGATGTGAACGGAACCAAAGTGACAACCAGGCCGTCGATGGCCCATCCGCATGGGCCACGTCCGCTGGTCCCCCCCACCGGCATCCTCTGCGTCGCTGCTAGCATGAGTCTTGAAGCTGGACACTGTCCACATGTCCGGCCATTAAACTATGTTTCCCAGGCAGCTACAGGCTGTGGAACACACTTCTGGCCACAGCAGTGCGGACAGACCCTGATCTTCCACTGGGAGAATAGTGCTCCCTGGGGCCATCAGCGTACCATGCCATGAAGCCACAAGGCCACACCAGGAGAGCCTGGTGACATCTAGGATCAGCCGGGCACAGCCTGGACATCTCGTTCCCGAAGAACAGTAACACCAGTGGCCGTACACCACCATATCTCAGGCCTCGCCACTGAACAGGCTGGCCCTGGTGTCCTCGTAGAGGCCACCCAAAGGGAAGGGGCAGGGTCTCCCCTGAGGGCTGCTGAGTCATGGGGGCCCACGCTTCCCCTTCCCGACAGCCCCAAGCACCGCTGCCCAGGTCTCTCTGTGAGCACCTGTCCCCCTCAGACCCAGCTGGCCGAGGCTGCCCACGGGGGCCCTGGATGAGACCAGGGAGATGCTGCTGGGCTGCAGGGGACACAAGGCTCTCCCACGTGGCGCAAGGAAAAGACGAACATCCTAATGTAGAAATGGACAGAAGACACCAGAGCTGCTCCAAGTGTGTGAGCGGACGCTCATCAGACCAGCCGGACATCCAGGACGGCAACATGGGTGTGTCACGGGCCGTGCTGCCCCCGAGGGCAAGGAGGCGATTTGCCGACAGGATGGCGTCCCCCGACCCCGACTGGGCTTCTCAGCACCAGCCCCCGGGAGACCGGGCACAACCACAGACGGAGGCGGGCACGGTGAAACTCACTAGGTCATTGTCTGGGAAAGTAAGAGGCCCGGATGCTGCTGACGGCCGTCAGACAGGTGCGACGTGCCCTGTTCCCGCTATGCCGCCGTGGGCAGGTCCAGTGAATAAGCCGGGCAGTGAGCTGTGACAGCAGAAGGCTGAGTAATGGCGTGATCGCGGACGATGCGGCCGGACGCACACATGTCATTTGAAACCACACGCACACCCACGTACCACGCTCAGTAAGCTCGTAAAGACCTGGTCAAGCTGGGGACACTGGTCCCTTTGTGGGGGTGGCGGTGGGCAGAAAGGTCCCAAATGAGCCAGGCAGCGGCAGTAAATATGGGACAAGGCAGTGTGCCCGTCCGCGCCATCGGGTCGTGTGAAACGTCCCCCCCCGCCCCCCGGGGAGGTGGGATGGCGCAGTGGGCGGGCCCTGGGATCGCAGCGAGCCTGCCGCAGCTTCCGACTCTGCGCGCTCCCCTAGACCCTAGGGCGGCCCCTCACCCCCCGCAGGTCCTGCGATTGCCCTTCAGGTGGAGCCCCCCGCCACGGGCTCGCAGTGGGGCTGGCGGACTTGGCCGCACGAGCTTCCACCCCGCCGTCCGGGCCCCGCGGCCGCTTACCCACGGTGAGCGCCTCAAACAGTCGGTGAATGATGTCCGTGTCCTTCACGATGCCCGACTCCTGGACCCTCCTCACGAAATCGTCCAGCTGCATGTGCGTCTTGGGCAGCTCGAAGTTCTTCACGCGGTCGTCGGGCTTCGTGGCCTCGCCGGCCTTGTCCACCACCTCGCTGATGAGCCGCCGCAGCTCGGGCACCCGCTCGGCCTGGGCGCGCTGGGGGCCCGACAGGGACCGCACCGTCCTCCGCACGAGATCGGCGGGAAAGATCTGGATGTCTGTCTTGTAGAGACTCTGGAAGTCCAGCAGGGCGTCCAGCAGCTGCCCGTGCATCAGGTGCACCGCCCCGCGGAGGTAGAAGTACCGGGCCAGGAGCACGGAGCTGTCGGGGGCCAGGAGGCTCATGGCCTTGGTGAGCTGGGCGACGCAGTCGGCGTAGTAGGCCTGCACGCACTGGCTCACCAGCGGGAAGTGGATCTCCGGGATCTTGAACATGTACGTCGGCTTCGGACTCACATTCAGAGCTAGAGCCGAGAGGAGACACGCGCACCATCAGCAGCTGCGAGGACAGACCCGGGTCCCCGTCACCTTGCCTGCGTCAACATTTCTGGGCCCTGGGTGCCGTGCAAGCGAGAACCTTTGTGCCTCTTCCAGAAAGCTCCACGTGCCCCCGAGCTGAATGCCCCCCCACCGCTTCTATGGCACCCTGAGAGTTCAGAATGATCTTATTTGCTAGGACACTAGCACTAAATGGAAGCACCTGGTAGTGAGTCTTCGGGGGAGGGTCATGCTGACGACACAAGCACGATACGCCCCTGGGCAGCTCCAAGCCCCAGAAACTGCTGGTTTCGTCCAGCTGCACGGCCGCTCTGTGAGAAGGCCATTGCCATCAACCCCATCGTACAGACGTGCAAACTGAGGCTTCACATGTCCCAGGGGCCCAGAGCCCCCCGGGGCCCAGAGCCAACCTCACCCAGGTGTGTCTCCCACTAATTCCTTCCACAAATGTCACTGAAGGGCCTCTCCGGTGGCACCAGGGGACCAGGACCAGGCAGTCGTGTGGGTAGGCCCTTCAACCCAGGGAGACAGAGTCTCAGCTGTGAAACTCAGAGGAGAGGAAGGCCCCTGGGGTGGGGGGAGCTCCAGGTGAAGGTTCAGAGGACGGAGAGGGCAGAGCACCTTCCCACAGTGAAGTGAGCACAGCCGGGGGTGAAAAACATCCCTGGGTTTGACAAAAGAGGAATTACAGGCCCAGAGAGGGGAAGCCAGCTGCCTAGACTCACACAATGAGGAAGACACCGCAAAAAGAGACCCAGCAGTGCCTTCGGGACGCCTGCTCTGTCATGGAGGGCTTTTCTCTTGGACACACGGCCCCCACTGTGGCTGGCCGGGTGCTCCCCTCCCCTCCCGCTCTGCTGTGTGCGGTCACCAGGGGGCAGCACCGGGTACCGGTGGCCTCAGCCTAAGGCAGCGGCCACGGGACCTCCCCAGGCCCGCAGCTCACGGTGTTTTATCCGGACACAGACACGCATGTACGTGAGGGACACTGAAACCGTGCAGAGCCGCTAGCTATGGCACGTGACTGGTGGGTGGAAAATACGGGTAAGAAAGCATATCCTGTAACGAACAAGTTTGCAAGATAAACACTCGAGAAATATTTCAAACACTTAAGCCACTAAAACAAGAACAACACCCGCATTCCCCTGCACTGAGACAGAGCCCGGCTGCAGTCAGCGACTCGCCGGCGGCGGGAGACACGTGAGGACGGGGCCGGTTTATCACCTATGCTGCCGGTTCCGCAGCCCGTGGTGTCCACTTTGCGAAGCGACGCGTTCCGGGCGGGCACCTCGGGAACCGCGATGTCCTGCAGGTTGGGCATGCTGACCACCATCCGCCTGTGGGCGATGTGCGGGGGCGAGAATTTCCGTGAGGTCATCTTCTCGATGGTGGGTCTTCTTGGGCTTACCAGCATCCCGTTTAATCTGGGGTCAGAAGAAAGCAACACCTTGTAGATACAAGCACGGCCGCAGAACACGTCTCAGCACCCAAGCCTCTTCTCCACGCGACACCCGCTGCCCGCTCTTCCCACACGCGAGCGGGACACAGAGCGGGAGCACCACATCTGTCTCCCCCCGTGCGGCCAGCGGCTGGAGGACAGACTGTCCCCTGGAAGGGACACAGATAAACGAAGTCTGTCAGGAACCGTGTGGGAAGAGCTGGAACAGCATGGGGCAGCGCCGACGCGGCAGGAGAGGGAAGGCCGACGGCAGGGCGTGCACACTGCGCTCGGGGTCCCCCCCAGACAGAAGCTCGTGGGGACGCGCCCCACGTGTTATATGTTTCTGAATGTGAGATTTTCTGGTCAAAGTGTCATTCATCCCCCGAATGAACCCATGCTGCTCAAGCGTCTGGTCCCGAGTCATGCGCGCAGCCAGCGGCACCTGTCGTCTTCGGACTGCGTGTGGAGGTCCATCTGGGCGAAGGCGTCCATCCTTCTGCTGAGCCGGGCTTTAAGGAAAGAGTGAAACATGTAGGTATCCAACACCTGAAACAGACCACGGAAGGCCACTTACCGCCATGCTCTTGGCCTTCGCCGAGCCGTCCAAGCGGCCACCCGGCCCCTTCCCCGTCAGCCGCGGCCTCTCCCCAGCCCCTGGCTCCTCAGACACAAGGTCCTAAGCAGGCGTCTGTCCCCACTGATCGCACCCGGCAGTGCTGGCCTCCAGGTCCTCCCCAGGCCACTGCCACGGGCCGCCATTCCGTGTCTGAAAAGTCACCAAACTTTCAGAAGTTCAACCGCTTCCCCCCATGACAGCAAGAGCCATAGTGCCAGTGCCCTGTGGCCTCTGACTCCAGATCTCGGGGACCAGAGCCTCCTCCTCACAGCAAGCGCCTGTGGCTCCCATGACCTGGCCCTGGTCTCTCACTGGACAAGGCGACCCTCCAGCAGCCAGGGCTTGTCCCCACCTTGTCCCCACACTGCTCCCTGCTGTGGGCCAGCCGCCTGCAGGGAACAAGGCCCAGGCCCACAGGCCATGGCTCCGCTGGGTGACAGGAGGGCTTCAGGGGCACAGGGCCCATGAGGAAAGTGTTGGAAACCCCATGTGCAAAACACCCGCAGATGAATGACGGCAGGAGTGGGCGGGACGGGATGGGAGGCGGCAGCCATGGCTCACGGGGACCGCTAGAGAACTCCCCACGAGCCAACAGACCAGGGAGCTCTGCCCAGGCGCCGGTCACAGCTGTGACCCGACTGCGAGCAGGGCTCCCGCCTTTGCTCTGGCCCTGCGAGCATCCCTGTGGCTTCTCCCTGTGCTTGTCTGTGGCGCCTTTCATGGCAGGGTCCCTTGTGGGCAGCATCTCATGGGCCCACAGGCCAGGCTCTACGCCCTGGGCAGTATGCATGGAGGGAGCGGACAGCCGGGGTGCCCATGAATGGGGGAAGCATGTCTGTCAAGCAAACGTCAGAGCAGACGTGAGGGCGTGGGCAATGCCCAGAGAGAGGCAGAGGCTGCCGGCCAGCCCACATGAATGACCTTGTGTGGACCTCAGTCAGGAGAGGAGCCGCAGCACAGGAGCTCAGACACCCCTCAGGTCATCAGCTGGACGGGGCACCATGGAGGGCAGCAGCCCAGAGACCCGCCTGGAGCTCAAGACTGAGGCAGCTCTGCAGAGAAAGTTCTGGAAGTCTGCATGGGGGCCCCCTAACCCAGGCTGGGTGCGGAGGCTCTGCCCTGCAGGGGGAAGCACGTGGAATTAGGGAGAGAGGAACGGGCAGGGAAGAGCAGGGGGAGGCCTGGGAGCTCTCGGTGGCCAGGGCAGCAGCTCCTGCTGGAGGAGGGAGACCAGCCCCCGGGGAAAGGCTGCTCTCGCCCACCCGGAAAGCGTGGGAACAGCCCTAAGATCGGCACCAGCCGCCAGCTCGAAGCCCCAGACACGAATCCTCATAACAGACACGAACAGATGTGTCCCACGGGCTTGTGAGCAGGGGACCGACCCAGCGCCCCCTGCCGTGTCCGACAGCAGGGCCCTGTGGCCGTGCGCCTGCGACAGGAACCATCTGGGCCGCTGGAGCCGTCTCCATCTGGGCCGAGGGGCGGCTCCCGGGCACACGTGTCTGTCAACATGTCCCAGCCGCTACACATATCATGGGTGCATTTCCTAATGGGGAACTACACGTTGCAGAGCACGTCAAGAAACTGAGATGGAGGGGGCGGCTGGGGGCTCAGTGGGTTAGGCCTCGGCCTTCGGCTCAGGTCATGATCCCAGGGTCCTGGGATTGAGCCCCGCATCGGCCCCTCTGCTCAACGGGGAGCCTGCTTCTCCCTCTCTCTCTGTCTGTCTCTCTGCCTACTTGTGATCTCTGTCAAACAGATAAATAAATAAAATCTTTAAAAAAAAAAAAAGGAAAAAACTGAGATGGGGCCAGAGGGTCCAAAGGAACCAAGCAAGCTGGAACGAACTTTCTGGAAACACTAACACGCTGAGAGAGCAACCCCACACGGCGCCGGGAACCCAGACCGGGCGTGGGACAGGACGCGCGAGTGCGCCCCAGCCCCGCCCGCTCCTCACCTGCCGGTAGAACCGCTGGTCGCCCGGAGCCCTGGTTTTGAGAAACTCCTCGCTGTTGAACACCCTGTGCTCGTAATTCAGGTGGTTCTTCACGTCCCTGACAACGAGAGAGAGACGGTCTAAGTGTGGAAGCATCCTTAAATACGGGAGACAGCCATGGCGATTCGGCAACACGGAAAGGACCAAAAGGACACGGTTTGCAAGCCCAGTCCCACGTCCCCGGGAGGGCTGGGTTGGGGCGTGCTCTCTCCTCCAGCTGCTTTGGGACAAGCACGGCTTCCCCTCCCCGGGGACCGTCACCGCCCTCTTCCCCTTCCAGCCCCTCCTTCGTCCTGCAGATGACAAAGAGGACACGAGGGGGCGACCCGGGACAGGCCGACCCTGGGCGCGAACACGTATGATCTGCCGTGGCTAAGTACAGTCTGCACTGGGGTCAGCGAGCCCACGGGCCACATTCCCTGTCAGCTGAGAACCAGCCGCCGAATGACAAAGGCTCCGTCCGGGCCCTGCAGGGCGGCAGCACTGGCGGGAGTGAAGACAGAGGGAGGATGACGGGGACAGATCCTGAGTGCCGCCGCCCGCTGGGGGGCCGAGGGGGCCAGCTTCCTTCCCGCAGTGACCCGATGTCCCCACTCCGGGCCGGCCCCGAGCCGCAGCCGGCATGAGCCCCCACCGGCGGCCTGGGCCCAGAAGGGCGAGGACCTCAGCTGCGTCCGCCCGGGGCGGCAGGGAGGGTCCCGGTACCTGAAGACGCCCACGAGCAGCTGCAGGGCCGCGTGCTGCACCTGGCGGTTGAGGCTCCGCTGCCAGGCCCGACGGCGCGCGCGCCCCTCGTTCAGGTCCGTGCTGGCGCCCAGGTGCGCGAGGTCCAGCTCGTGGTGCAGCCGCAGGCTCTGGATCCTGGGAAGGACAGTGGGACGCTGAGCACCGCACACTGGGACCGCGCTCCTGGGCGGGGAGAACGCGCTCCCAGGGGCACCAACACTCCGGGTGCTGGGAAGGCGCGTTGGGAACTTCTACACCGGGATGGCAAACACCTGTCCCCGGAGCGTCCGGTCCCTGCTCCACACGAACAGCTCATCCGTGCCGAGCCCGCGGGGGCCTCCGCCGTGGCCGCTCCCGTTTCCACCAGAGCCGGATCTGTCCCTGCCCGGCTCCACCCCGCGACAGCACGCACCCCGCACCCCGCACCCCGGGAAGGACAAAGGGCTTCCAGCACAGGCTGCCTCCCTGCCGGGGCTGCCCACCACCGTGCCCTATCTGGGAGGACCGGATGGACCCAAGGGCCTGTGTGTCACAGCTCACGGCCGCCCACTCTCCAGACACCCAGCACTGGTATCCGGCCACCCCGGGTTCCCCGGGCTCCCCAGCCTCCCCAGCACGATCAAGGCTGCAGCTCTGGAAACCATCCAGCAAGCGTCCGGGGTTACTGCAGAAGACACACACCCAATGCCCTTGAGTCCAACCTGTGTTTCCTGAGCGCCCCCAAATGCCAGGTGCCACCTGGGCATGGGCTGCGTGGGGACCACAGACAAAGCTGCAGGGTGGGGCTTACATTCAAGGGGGAAGAAAGAGAAAAGAACAGAGGAGTACACCCCAAATAGGAGCTCAAGGCGGGGGAGGGGAGGATCGGAGACCAGGACAGCCGGAAAAGAGCCCGCTGGTGGCTGGAGGGGGCCTCTCGAGGACCCTAGTCCTGAAAGGTGAGACGCCAGACAGACGGGATGGCCCTGAGCAGGCAGGGAGCGGCCGTGGGGGGGGGGGGGGGGGGGAGGCGGGCTGAGACCAGGTCCGAGTAGCTGGCAGGGCTAGGGCGGGTTGAGGAGCACTCTAGATTCACCCCTGCGTGTGACAAGAAGCTGTTGCTGGGGATGGTGTCCCAGCCCCGCTGACCCCAGCGGACCCGGTCAGGTACCCCCTACTCAGAAGGAACACGAGCTGGCCGTGCACTGGCAGCACAGGGGCGCGGCGGGGAGGGAATCCACACAGAGTCGTGGTGCTGCCTGTGGCCGGGGCCTCCCCGCTGCGTGCTGTGTGCAGGGACAACCCCTCCGCTGGAGGAGAAGGCTGGCCCTCCTACCTGGACGCTCTGCAACACTCTGCCCCAGAGAGCTGGGGCCCCTATCCTGCGCCGGGGAGGTCGGGGGCAGGGAGGACACCGTGAACACAGATGCAGGTGAGGAAGAGGAAGATGGGGGACAGAGAGGGTGAGGAGGAGCGGGGCTCTCGGGGAAGGGTGCTGCTTCCTGTCCCGCTCCACCAAAGGCCCTGTGTGGACACCCCAGCACCCCAGGACCTCAGGGATACTGACCACCGTCGCCTGGAGCGGCCTCGGAGCCTTCCCGAGGCGCCACGACCGCACCCGGGTTAGCTCACGTGGCTGAGGCTGTAGGAGGCACGTCCCACCAGGTGCGGGTCCAGCCAAGCACAGACACAAGCCACCGGGTCTGTCCTCGAATCGGACACCACCACACGGACGAGCACAGGGCCCCCATCCCACGGGGGACGTGCCACCAAAACGCACGCTTGAGAACCACCGGACACCAGGCCCCGCAGCGCCAAATCGTCAGACTCCCAGAGTCGGGGGAAGGCGGCTTCGGCTCACCAAAACGTGAACGGTTACAAATGTCGGCTTCCCCTTGCAGGCTCACACCGGAGACACTCCGCCAGGACACCCTGCTCCACTCCCCTGCACACACCCAGGGGCAGCCAGATGCGGCCCCCCACCCGGGGACTCGTCCTGGCAGACGAATGACAGCTCCTTCCCCGCCCCAGAAGCAGCTCCAGCAAGAAAGTCCTCGAGCCCCACACGACACAGGCCAGAGCCTAACCTGGCACTGCCAGGAAGAGGCCGCGGCTGCCCGATATGGGCCAAGGCGGTAAGAGCACTGATGGGGGTTGACATTAGTCAACCTGACCCTGAACCCAGACAGGATGACGTCTCGCTCACTTGGGTGAGGCGCCCACCTCTGCGCTGTATGGCGTGGTGGCAGCACACAGATCCTGCCCCGTGGGGGCATCATGTGGGTCTGTATACACGTGGCGGGGGGCGAGGGAAGGGAGGGAAGTAGGGAGGGGGAGGGGAGGGAAGAGGGAGGAGGGAGGGGCTAGGGGAAGAGGAGAAGGGGAGGAGGGAGGAGGGAGGGGAGGGAGGAGTAGAAGAGGGAAGGAGGGAGGGGGAGGGGAGGGAAGAGGGAGGAGGGAGGGCCTAGGGGAAGAGGAGAAGGGAAGAAGGGAGGAGGGAGGGGAGGGAGGAGTAGAAGAGGGAAGGAGGGAGGGGAAGGGAACCTCAAAAGTCACAGGCAGACCACAGGGCAGAGAGGGTGGGAGGTCTCCGGGGGACGGGACCATCACCTGACTCAGTGGGGCCATAACTGGTATCTAGACAAGTTCAGAACAAAGACTAATGACTTCCACCTTAAAACATTCACAAATAACTTCCAAACGCTAAAGACAAAAAGCGTGGCTCTGGAAGGTAAGACGGGAAAGACACTCGCAGCCCACAAGCGCAGAAGTGAACAGAGCCGTCCGGGCGCACTCGACCCCCACCTTTACCTCTGAATAAACGTGTGCGCCGCCAGCAGGGGGATGTCAGGGACATCGACCTCCCGGTCATCAGAACACGTGACGCTCCCATTATCCATATTTATCAGAATTAGACCATCAGCTTCCTGCAAGTTTGAGAAAGATCGATTAAGATTCTGCATTTGCAGACGCCTTTGAAAACACAAAAACACACTTTGCATTGCCTACGGCGGCGTCACCGCTGATGAAATCACACACTGCGCCTTCTACTGTCCCACCAAGGAACGCAGGCTTGCCATGAGTCACGTCCACAAGCTAGACTGGATGGAACCCGCCCCAGTCGGAGTCAGGATTCCGGACGGGTCTCTGGCTTTCCCCGGCCCGGGTACAAACACTGCCGGCCACTTCAGGGAGCCTGGAGAGAACATTCCAGGGCTGGGGGTGGGCCGGGCCCCGGGCTCAAGGAGCACACCCTTAGGATTCCTGCACTGTGTACCGGGTTCCTTGTCAAGCCTAATGCGGGACGAGATACACAGACACTGAGTCCCACTCTGGAGCCCGGCGCCCAGCAGCCCCTGGGCGCTCTGACGGCCCCGCTCTGAATGCGTGTCCAGGCAGCACAGGAACCGAGCATACGTCGTCTTCCGGCCCAAACACACGGCTGACAGGCAAGGTGGGCCGTGAGGCCCCTTGTGAACATTCTCGCACACGCGTGCCGCACGACGGCATCTGAGTCCCCGGCCCCACGGAGGAAAACGTCCAAACCCAACACGCTCTCCAGCCTGTGCCTATCCTGAAATCTTCCAGAACACGCAAGTCCCTGAGTGGGCCTCCTTCCGGACTGCGGATGCGAGCTGCCGGATGGACGTGCCCGTGAAGGTTCCTGGGGGAACGGCCTGAAACAAGGTGGTTTTTTCCCTAATGTCTAAAAAAAGACACACATTTTCAACTTGAGAGCACAGCCTTATTTCTTCCTCATTTGCAGGCAGACTGGGAGACGTTTTCCATTCCTTCTACGAGGGCCTGAATGGCCTTTCCACAAAGTCTGTCACTTGGTGAGTCACTGGCTTTGGCAAGAACGTGGCAAGAACCCGGCTCCTCCCCAGGAGCGGCCAGTCTCCACAGGGCCCTGAGGACCTTCCCGGGATTTGCTCTGAAACGCTCCAGGCTCCACGTGACAGCGGGGCGGCAGCGGGTGAGCGCTGAGGACGGGAAGGAAGGCACGTGCGAAGGTGCTCCGGTGTTAGTCGCCGGGGAAACGCACACCAGATCCACAGTGAGACGCCACGTCCCCCTCGCCAGGACGGCCAGGAGGACAGGAACGCACAGCGCGGGGTGGGGGAGGGGGTGGAGAAGGTGCTGGATGGTGAGCGGCTGCCGCCCACGGTAGGCGACAGCACAGGTCCGCACGGGAGCTCGCACGCACAGGACGGCTTGCAGCTGCGCCGGTCACGACAGTCTAAAGTCGAAACAATTCTAATGTCCGTCGACAGATGACGGACAAAGAAACTGTGGCACGTTGGCATGACGTGATCTGATTCAGCAGCGAGAACCACGGCTACGTGGATGGGCGGCGTGGACAAACCTAGAAAACTCTGTGCTGAGCGAAGGCAGCCTCTCAAGGCCAGCCACGGCCCTAAAACCACACGTGTGGGACGGGCAAATCCACGGAGACACGCGTAGGTGGGGGCGGCCGGAGGACCATGTGGGGTGATGCGAAGCATATGGGTCTTCTCGATGGGGCCAAAAACATCCAAAATCCGTCAGCACAACTCTGCCAAGCTACTAAGAGCCTCTGACTTGCACATTTTCCTCAGGCAAACTTTGTGGTATTTTATGTGAATAAAGGTGTTTTCGAAAGCCAAACCCGCTCTGCCTGACATCACAGCATCACAAATCCATAGGAGCTCACCATCTAAATATACGTTATTAGGCACTTACTGTATGCCAAGTGCTTCTGGCTCCTTCGACCTCAGCCATGACAGCGAGGCCGGCACAGTTACTGCTGTTACAGGAGTTTTGATCCCTCCGAGCCTGGGTTCTTGGTCACACACTTCGAGGAATGAAGAGGGAGACCACACGAAGAGGGGCGGGCAGTGGGGCCAGGTTTCTCGAGTGATGGTGCAAAGCTCCCGGAGAGGCGCCTGGGGGGCTCAGTGGGTTAAGCCTCTGTCTTCGGCTCAGGTCATGATCTCAGGGTCCTGGGATCGAGCCCCACATTGGGCTCTCAGCTCAGCAGGGAGCCTGTTTCCTCCTCTCTCTCTGCCTGCCTCTCTGCCTGCTTGTGATCTCTGTTTGTCAAATAAATAAATAAAATCTTAAAAAAAAAAAAAAAGCTCTCTGAGAGCGAGGGGACCCGAGAGGGCTGCCGCTCTGGCATTCAGATTTTAGACTTTTTATAAGCTCTTTTGAGAAACCATCTTGAGGGGTGCCTGGGTGGCTCCGTGGGTTAAAGCCTCTGCCTTTGGCTCAGGTCGTGATCTCAGGGTCCTGGGATCGAGCCCCACGTCGGGCTCTCTGCTCAGCGGGGAGCCTGCTTCCCTCTCTCTCTCTCTCTCTCTCTCTCTCTGCCTGCCTCTCTGCCTACTGTGATCTCTGTCAAAAAAAAAAAAAAAAAAAAGAAACCATCTTGAGCCTCCTGAGCATGGGCACCAGCGAGGGCTCTGACCACACACCCGTCCACCCAGCAGGTTACTGTTCACCTGCTGCTGGTCACATGGGCTGACATCCAGAGACGGTCTCACTTGTGACGGTGACCCGTGTTTCAGGGATAGTGGTGTTGTTTCAGGATGTCTCAAAAACATCACTCCCACGGAGGCTGCTAGACAGGATGCCGCTGTGGTCTCGTCTAAGGTGTCAAGCGGGGTGCCAGTGCGGTTTGGTCTTAGCTGCCCGGCTTTTCTGCTTTCTTGTCGGGGACCCCAGCCCTGACGACCTAAGTGTCCAGTAAGCTCTGCGAGACAACACGGCTGAACGCTCTGGTGCGGGTCTGGTGCGAGTGAAAGGTCACTGCGTGCAGCGAGGCCCACACCCACCGGCACTGTGAGCGACGCGTGGCGTGGACAGGACCTTCCAGCAGGAGGGTCCCCAGCAGTACGGAACCACAGAAGCTCAGCCAAACAGAGAAACACGAGACGGGGGGCGGGGGCGCCGGCCGTGTCAGCGGGTGTGCAGTGGTCCCCGCACGGAGCCCCGTCCAGGAGGACGAGTCATTCAGACTCAAGGAGGCTGAGGCTCAGCAAGGGCTGGCACCTCACTCGAGGCCACAAAAGGAGAAAGCGGCCACAGCCAGGCCAGAGAGCAGGCCCCATCGGCGCTGACGCCCGCGCTCCGCTCGCTGGAGCTGCAGGAAGCCACGGAACCCTGGGAATTTAAGCGGGTGGGCAGGCAACACAGGGTCCCAGCGCCCAGGACCCTACAGCCTTGGACACGCGCAGAGGCACAGGCAGATGGTGCAACTGGCACCCTGTGTGTATTTGTGGCACCAGGGGCACGAGCCCCAGGGACGGGAGGGACCACCATCTCCCCGTGGCCGGAGCACGTGGCCCTCCCTGCGGGACCCTTTTGGAGCCACTTCTCCCGGTCCCCGCAGGGGTCACAAGGATCTGACATTCACCAGTGAACGGTCGAGGTCTAACCTTGCTGACTTCGTCAAAGTGGTCGAGGTGGCAGCCCATGAGGAAGGACGTTGGCGCCATGACGAAGTCCAGCATCTGGCGCGACAGGACGGGCACGAACGTGTGCTGCCACTGCAACGGGTGCAGGTAGGCCAGGAAGCACTCGGCCACCAGCGGCAGCAGAGCCCAGCTGGAGGAGAAGAACACGATCCGCTGCTCCGTGAGGAGGCACGTCAGGATCTGGGGAAACCGACAACACCGTGTGCACGCCTGCGACCATGCTCCGAGCACTGAGCACGCGTGTGAAGCCAGTTCTCACCCGGTTTCCCAGCTCCATGTGCCGAGACGAAAGCCCCTTTCACCCCCCAAAAAGCACTACTTGTCAATGCCGTGCACTGTCCTGAATGGCTGCTTGAAGCCAAAAAGCAGCTATCCCCAGTGCGTGGTGGAACATTCCAGAACGTTCTGGAATGTTCTGGAACACACGTGCCCTGGAATCGCCCTCCAGATGACAGGTGAGATGCCCACTAAGCCAACCAACACACTGTCCCAGGTCCGGAGGGACACATACCTGCAGCACCTTCTCGGGCCTGAAACACAGCAACGGCAAGTGAAGGTCCACGTCGATGACCGGGCTCTCGGGGTCCGCACGGGAGGGAAACACGATCTGCAGCGGCTTCATGTTAAACATCTGTGATGACCAAGTTCCGTAATTAGTTTACAGCCGCTCCTAGGAGAGACCGAGAGACACCGAGACTCTCCGTTTAGGCGCCAAAGGCGTCTGAGTTAGGATACGTGCTGGAAGACTCACACTGTCACCGTGTGTGTCCCAGAACCAAACAGTCTAGACACGCACAACTGCAGAGAGAGGCTCACACGCGGATCCAGTACTGAAGATCTCCTTCAGCCAGTCTTGCCTACGCTCCTAACTCATTAGCAACCTGCCCATCGGTGAAGAGTGACTGACGCCTGGACGTGTGTTCCAGTCAGCACAGGCTCTAACTCAAGCACGGCCAGGTTCATCTTGGCCAGAACGCTCACTGCACGTTACAAATTCTCTTAGTATTTTCAACGTAACTGTCAAAGCCTTAAAGACATGCACTTCAAGCAATCGCAGAGAAGACTTTATTTTTCCAAGTGATAATATTTCAAAATAACACTTCAATTCCCATTTGATATCTGCAAAATGCCCTCTCTGTGTTAAAGGACACAGTGGACGGAGGAGGACGTTAGAGGCCCCTCCGCCAAGGGGCCTTCCAGCTTGATGGCAAGTTCATTCCTGACCATGGATGTCAGCCTTGTGGAGGGTCCCAGCAGCAGCCCCGGAGCTGGGGAGGAGCAGAACTGAGTGTGAGCAGTGCCGGGCTGAAAACACCGGGAGGAGATTAGAATCTGAGGACAGAGAAGGTCCCGCCGGGGAAAGCATGGAAGGAGGACACACGAGAGACACGGAGAGACGCAGAGCCCTCGCTAGAGAAGGTTCCAGAACGAATGGTCACCATCCACACCTCCTCCCGCTCGTGTCACCACTGCTCTGTGTGACTGCTTGTGCAGAGGACAAGGACAGACCACTTTCTGCAAGTGCCCCCTGACGGCAGCGTCTTGTCACCCACTGGTTGTGGCAGCAGGACGCGTCAGAAGCAAGGCGGGTGCGCCTGTGTGGACGGTAGCGAAACAAGGAGGAGCAGAGTTACACGCTCCCAGGGGCGAGGAACTGGGGAAAATGGTGAAGCGTATGTGGAAAACTCCCCTCAATATTTCAAAAAAAACAAACATGTCGACCGGCTTCCCAACTACAGATAAAAACTAAATACAAACGCCAATCATTCTTACCAGGGACGCCAGCGACCTCGCCGCGTGTGAGACCCACACCCTCTGAGCTGGGCTCTGGGGCCCCCCACCTCACAGGGGAAGAGACTGAGGGAGAGACATTTCAGAGAGACGCTCCCCACGCTTCGCTTGCCTGCAGCTCCGCACACACACGGGCTCCCCACCGAGAGCGACACAGGAAGCGAGTCAGGTACGGTGAGAAGGGAAAGGCACGTTTCGCGTGCACACCCAGTAACTTGGCCCGAGCTCTGAAAGCCCGCGAGGTCAGAGCCACTGGTGGGCAGAGAAGCCGCAGAGCGAGCCAGGGCCGTGGGGTGTCCTTCCCGCCCTCGGGCCAGTGGTCCAGGCGCCACCTGCGAACGGGCGCCGCGCCAGGCCGGGCTGAGGCTGGGCGCCGCCTCTTCCGACCCGGACCGGAGATGACCCCACACTTGACTCACAGGAACTGCAGCTCCTGACCTCCAGCTACACGGCCTCGCCACCGAAGTTTGTTTGCAGTGGGCTCTGGAAATTCCTGAACGGGCTCCTGGGTCAGAGGAGAACCTTGGCCTCACGTGTCTCAGAAACAAGGAACAGCCACGGTGGTTCAACACCCCCGAAGATGGGTCAGGGCCCCGTCTCAGCCTCAGAGCCGGTGAGGCCACAAGGGGAGGGTCACAGCAGCAGGCCTGAGCCGGGCTCAGCTCGTTCAGACAGACGCGCAAGAAGCGAGAGGCAGGCCCCGCTCTGAGAACACGACAGGCTAACACTAAAACACAACCCATCTGTTCTTTCTTCTGCTCCACAACTGTGGGAGCAGTAAGGGCAGGGCGGGTGTGTAACAGTGCCACACATGCAGCTCGGCAGGGTCCCCTTCCTCACGCAGCTCGGAGGCCAACAGAGAAGAGGGACGTGGAGCAAACACGTGCGTGAGCCCCAACTGCAGACAGGGCTGGGCTCCGCGGGAAGGGGGCGGGGCATGGAGATGGGGTGGGAGGTCACAGAGGCTGTCACGAAGAACCTGACTTCCAGGAACAGCATGTGCAAGGGCCCTGGGGCAGCACCCATGAGGGACGGAGGGACACCCAGTGTGGCTGGACAACAGTGGGCAAGGGGGTGAGGACACAGACAGAGGAGGACAGTGATGACACAGGGGCCAGAGAGGTAGAACTGGCTGTAGGTACACAGCAAGAAGCCATTTGGGGTTTTAAGCATAAAAGGAGAGTCCAACGGAGAGATGTTAACAGTCTCTGCAGCCACTGTGCGAAGCATGAACTGAACGAAGGGTGAAGAATGGACGTGGACCGACCTGCGGCCCCCCGGGTCACACAGATGGAGAAGCCTGTGGCCCTGCACTGGCGGGGGGGGGGGGTTGGCCAACCAGAGGCAAACGCCAGGGGCTGGCCCGTCAGGGGTGAGCGATGGAGGGAACGCAGGGGTGAAGAGAAGAGGCAAGAGAAGAGGCATCCAGAACGACTCCCAGGAAGCTTTCTACGAGGTAGCGAAAGTCGGAGAACCACGTATGACTCAATCCAAGATTCCGAGGGGCCAAGATTGGTACGGGTTCGAGCCTCACTCATGCTTGAAGGCAGAACCTAATACAGACGGCCAACCCTCAGCCTGTCCTGAACTTGGTCTTGTTCCCTGCTTCGCTGGTCCTCAGGGAACACTTGTTAAGTGAATTGAGCAAGAAGGGAAACCCTGATGACTTCACTGAACCATAAAAAAATACCAATTATCCACATAATAAAGATGAGGGCCTTGCACAAAACACGTCCCCCAAAAATGTCCCTACATAGGATTCTGGGAGTGGAACCAAGGTACACAGGCAACCTGCTCTGTCTCTGGGCCTGGAAAGCATCAGGCAGGATTCCCCCCGACCCCACACACTGTAGGGTGATACTAAAAATACAATTTAAGTTCATAATCCCATGTCTCCTGCAAAAGAAAATAAAGCTTTCCAACTGTGAATAACCGTATGTAGGGAACGGAGATCTCCCTGTCTCATCTCCCAGAAGGGACTGAGCAGAACAGGGTCGACATTTACAATCTGCGTCGAGACACTAATTTGGTGGGCGCCTCTCGGAGAACGAGGAAGCACCTGGTGGTTGCATCAGTCTGGAAACTGCTGAGCCAGACAGGTGTCATCACAGCCCAGCTGTCTGGCCCGTTACTCAGCAAAGGGGGAACGTGGGCTGTCTTTGTCCACAGCTCTCCTTAGCCCAAAACCCTCACGTAGAGCCAACCACGTTTCAGGACGAGCACGCCAGGGAAACCCAGATCCCCGGGACGCTTGGCCAGTCATTCAACAACACAGTGGCACTGGGAAAAACCAAAAAATAAGCCGGGTACTTTTCGTGAATCACCGTGGACAGGAGAAAACATGAGTCAATGTCATACCCAATATCCCAGACAAATAAACCAAAGGGAAATTTGTAATTTAAGTAAATTCTGTATGTTTTCTGCAAGTAATGCACCTGTGTGTTAAGCACTAAGGGGGCCATCACCAGCTCCACACCATGTATCGTGGGCCACCGGGCAAACTCATCTTTAGAAACTGTGTAATCAGATGATTCTGTAAGGAACCCAAGAAGCCTAATTTAAACACACCAGAACGTAAGAAATAGTTTAAAACATTAAAACCACCGTCGTCATATGACTTGAGCTATTCGCAAAGAAAAGACAAAATTCCAGATTTAATTACCAAATGAAGGGGTCCAGGCGGCGGGCTAGGTATTAAAGACAGTTTTGCAGCAAAATCTTTTATGTGATTGTCAACTTCAAAATCTTTACAGAGCTTCAGATGAGTCAATAAACTAAAAGAAAAAAAAATCAAATCACAAAATAAGTATGAGCCTCCAATTTCATCAGAGCATTTCTAATCTGTGCTCATGTGTCTGCCAGCAGCTCTGGGGCCGTCGGGCAATGGGGGACAACCCTGGACATGAGACGGCAGGGCATGGTCGCCCAGGGTCAGGGAGGGGGACCTGCCTGCAGAGGGGGTACAGGGAGAGTGGGGTGTTGGGGGGTGGGGTCCGGCCATGTTCTGCTTCTTGCTGTGGGTGCTGGTTACGCAGCAGGAATTTGTGCAATTTTCTGCCTGGGTCCTATTTCAGCAGCGAGTAAACATCTCAAAAGCAAGTGCTTGACCATGTTTGTTTCCCAAACGCATTCTAACTTTTGAAGTATGGTTGGCCCTTGACCAATGTGAGGGGTTAAGGGCACCCACCCCCCCCCACGCCGCTGAAAACCTGCGTAGAACTTCTCACCCCATCGAAAAGCTGAACTACTAATGGCTCACTGCTGACCAGAAGCCTGACCCCTGACCCAGCCAATGAACAGGCGGTCGTGTATTATATGCATTATATGCTGTGTTCTTACAGTAAAGTCAGCTGCAGAAAAGAAAACGATTTTAAGAAAATTTTAAGGAACAGAAAATACATTTACAGGGCTGTACTATATTTGTCAAAAAAAAATCCGGTGTATGCGCACGCACACAGTTCAAGCCGTGTTGTTCAAGGCAGCGCGGTCACTGACCAAATCGCACAGTGGACCAGCAGGTGCCTGGGGGCAGAGCGGCTGGGAAGCGACCACGGGGCATGAGGGGACTTTGGTGCGGGGTGGAAATGTTCTCTGTGTTAACGGCGGTAGTGGTGACACAGTGTCTACACTTGGAAAATTTCAGCCAACTGTGCTGGCGAACACCCTGCCTTGGTGCCCTGGGCCGGACCCCAGCCTCGCCCCCCACGCATGCCCACAAGCCACGTGCTAATGCTCTTCCTTTAAGTAACAAATCATAGCTCTTCCTGGAGTCAGTGTCAGGATTTGGAGATAATTCAATAGTCCTTCTGTATGTTATTTATCGTAAAAGAATAGTATTGATTTAAAAAAAAAAATCCAGGGGCGCCTGGGTGGCTCAGTGGGTTAAGCCGCTGCCTTCGGCTCGGGTCATGATTTCAGGGTCCTGGGATTGAGCCCCACATCGGGCTCTGCTCAGCGGGGAGCCTGCTTCCTCCTCTCTCTCTGTCTGCCTCTCTGCCTGCTTGTGATCTCTCTGTCAAATGAATAAATAAAATCTTTAAAAAAAAAACAAAAACAAAAGAACAAAGACTCCATACTCCAGTTCTGCACACACCGCTAAGCATCCTCTCCCAACGTCTGTCCACAGAGGCACAGTTTACATGCTACCATGATAGCAGAAAAACACTTTAAAAACCTATGAATCTACATTTATAAACCGCCTTTTGGATTTCTGTCATTTGTTTTTTCTGCTTTCTAGTTCCCGTCCCGTGGCAACAACCATGGAGAGAGAGAAAACTTGAGAAGCAGGGAAAGCAAACGCGTTTTTCAAGTTACACACTCATGTGCATGAATGTCTAGCAGGACGGCACTTGCTGCCAGGGGCATGAGAACGACCCCGTGGAGGAACAGGTGCTGTCGTCCTCAGAAGGCGGGCGCTGTGCGGCCCAAACCTGTTCTGTTCGAGGAAGGTGGGATCACCGGCCCCGCCTCCCAGAAGGGGAAACTGCGATGGGCGGACGCGCCCCCCACCCTCTGGAGCTGAAGATGAAGGGTTAACTAAAGAAACGGGGACCCTGTCCTAACTTCTCATCCCATCACTGCCCACGCCATGCCCACGCGCACACACTCAACTCACGCCGCCCCGGCGGGAGACCGAGCGAGCGCTCTGTTCTACGAGGCGTTTCGTGTCGGGCAGTAAGACGCAGGCTAGACCCACGCCCTGTGCGGAGACAAGCCGCACTTCGAAAACTGAAACATGAAGGCGCTGGCACTTGAGCTCCGAAGATCGTGAGCTCGGCCGGGAAGGATTCCTGCTCGTCCCTCCGACCACAGGCAGAGAACCAAAATGACTATCTTTCTAGAAGTCTGTGACTTGCCAGGGGTGACGGGTGGGTCTTACGACACGAAGGCCAGCCTCCGCGGACCGCCCTGTCTTTCACAAAACCGCCGTGAATTCCAAGACTAGAACTTGGAGAGAATGAAAACCAGGCGGCCAGGGCGCGTGTGGCCAGGGGCTGGACCGTGTCTGCGGCCACCGTCGTCCACCGACCACGGGCAATGAGCGCGATGCTCTCCGGAGCCGTCACAACCTCTCTAGGTCCTCAGGCCTCCTACTCGGTGTCGGCATGAATGTAAAGATGCCACCAAGGGAGGTGATTCGTCAACTGCCCGTGAACTGCCAGGCCTGACGGGGACAGCCTCCTGTCTCAGCCAGAAGAGCCATCTCTCATGCACGTCTTTTTGAAAAACCAAATATCAAATCGTCCGCACTAATTACTCCCCACAGCTTGGCTTCGCCCTCCCTTGTCTGGCCGAGCGCCCCACACGTTACCACCTCCAGAAGCCTCTGGGCCTTCACGGAGCCACACCAGAGCCCGCCTGCCACCCACCAGCCCGGGGGACGGCCTCGCAGACACGCGGGCCGTGCGGCTCACCAGGACAGGCAGTCCTTGAGGGCGTTGTAATAGGGCAGCTTGGAGACCACGCACACGGCGAAGGGGACAAAGCAGCCAGCCATGCCCGCCGTCAGCCAGGACGGCTCCCAGTGCGCCTTGCCGTTGTAGAAACACGACTCGTCCTGCAGAGAAAACCACAGGCCCGTGTCACTTCCCGACCTGGCCGCTCCCGGCTTCTATCATGAGCGAGAGGGCAGGGGCCTGGACAGCACCCAGCTCCCCCACCGCCCGGCCCGCCCTCCCTCCGTAGTCCCAGTCAGTGTGGATGGTACCCTCGCCATGTCACTGGGAGCCCCAGTCACAGCAGACAGGCTCCCAGTGTCACTGGGAGTCCCAGTCAGAGAGGACAGGCCCCCTGTGTCACTGGGAGTCCCAGTCCACACAGGACACCCCCCTCCCCGCTCCCGGTGCCTGCTGTCCGCAGTTCATGACATACTGAGGTGGCAGAGGCGGTGAGACCCACCCCGCCTGGGGGGAAGGGACCCACAGTGAGAACAGTGACACAGAACTGAACGCGGGCTCTGCTCTCGAAGGAAAAACGCTGTAGCGCCGAGCGTTTGTGTGTGTGCTGGGGCAGGGGTGAGGGTCTCAGCTGGGGGGTCTCAGCTGGAGAAAGTATCCGGCGCCGGGATTCCAGAGGCACAGACCACCGCGGAGCTTACGAGTGGCATGTCACGGGGGGCCACATTCCGGCCCCCATGGAGGGTAGTTTGGGGTGTCAGTAGAGATGGCGAGTGTGACAACAGCTTCACCTGGGGCTGGTGCGGACGTGAGGGTCTTGCGAGACGGGTGCTGGCAGAGCCCAGCAAGCAGCAGGCGCGTCGTTCGTCTGCCACCGACATCGAACCGACGCCTACTGCCCACACGTCAGAGCGCTGGGGGCCCCGGGCAAGTCACCCCCCACCCCGTGCGACTGCTCACGTCCTCATCTGGAGAGCGGGGTCGGTTCACTGTGGTGTGGATTAAATGAGAGCAGGAGGGTCGTGCCTGGAGCGGGCGGCCGGCACAGGAGGACCACAGCGCCGTCTGCGCTCCGGGAGGGGCCGCGCGCAAGGCGGGGCGTGGGTGGTCCCTGGACCCACGGGGAGGGTGGGGAGGCCGGCACGTAGGGCCCGGGGAACACCCCGAAACCATGCTGGTGCTGAGAGGACAGGCGAGCGGACAGGTGAGCACCCCAAAAGCCAGGCGTAGGGGAAGTCACGGGTAAAGCTGAGGGCAGTGACCTTTTTCAAATGCATAATAAAAATAACATGTACTTCTCATAGCAATCACTTCACAGACGAGCACCTTCCTGAACGACCCAGCCTCCCGTCCTGTGTCCGCTGGAAACACTACCAGGGAGGGGCAAGAACTCAGGCCCTCTCGTCTCCCACCCCTACCTGACCCGGGCAGGCAGGCAGGCGGGCCTGCTGTCAATGTCATGGCTGCAACAGCCCACACACACGGCCATGAGGGGTGGCCTCCCCGTGCTGCCCGCCACCTGCCCCGGGGACGCCCGGTCTAAACACTGAGGTTGTGCACTCAGACCCAGCAGGATGCGGGGCTCCCCCGTGTTTCTGACGCACACCAGGTGTGTCCATGCCACTCCACGGGCAGGAAGGGACAGAGCCCATCGAGTTGTGTCTTGTGCCCCCGACACTTAGGGATAGCTCTCCCACCGCAGCTGCCCCCGCCTCTGACGGCAGAGAGGGGAGGAAAATCCAGGCGGCCACCTCCCCTCAGTGTGGACTCCTGGACTTCCTGGATGAAGCAGTGGGGCCCCTTCTGCTCCCGAAAACCCTCGGACACAGGCAGCGGGTCACGCCGCCTCTTCAGGTGCATGGTGGCCCCCATAAGCTCCCGAGAGGCCGGCCGGGTCACACAAGTGGCCCTGCTGGGCAGGGGAGGCCCAAAGCCGTCACCCTGAGCAAAAGAACCCGAGTGGCCCTCGGTGGTTGCGTGGGAAACCAGCCGCGGCTCACACACACCGGCAGTAGGACTCGGCCGTGAGGACAGAGGCGCTGCGGCCCCAGCATGGACAAACTCTGAACCCGTCCACTGAGCGGGAGCCAGACACAGAGGCCACGTGCAGCCCGAGTCCACCAACACCAGGTGTCCGGAGCAGGCAAACCCGTGGAGGCAGGAGGGGGGCCGAGGGAGGGACTTCCACGGAGACAAACATCTTTTGGGATGAGACGCGGGAGGGGTTCCCAGCAGCAGGAGCGCACTTAGCACCACGGACCCACACCCACTAGAGTGGTCGCGGGGGTGGTGGCTTGGGGTGTGTATTTTGGCAAAAATAAAAACCACCCCGGCCTGACTTCCGAGGGAATTCGTGTCAGTCACATACGCGCAGGGGCCGATAGTACTGGACAACCGCGCCATACGTTCTGTTCCCACAGACGTCGGTCAGCACCAGGAAGTGGACACAGTCCTCCTTCGGCTCCGAGGCCACGTACATACCCCCTGTGGATGAGGAAAGGAGAGGAAATCTCGTCACGACCCCGCAGCAACCACCTCTGAGCCTGGGCTGCCCACGAGCCCACTTCTCGGCCTACAGAGCCTGGCCTCACCCTGCCAGCTGTGGCACCTGGGGGCGGTCGGGCCACTGGCCAGCCACCACCCCCTGTCCCTCCGCAGGGCCCATTTCTCGGCCACCCTCTGTGCTCTGCAAGATCTAGAGAAGGAGCACGAGGACAACCTCAGACAAACCCCTTGGGGTGCGCCTGGGGGAGGCGAACGTGTCTGAGCACAGCGGGCACGGGGCTGTCCTCGCTCTTCCTGGGTTGTAATCCCTGAGACCAGGAGACAGCAGCCATTCCCGACAGAACCTTCCGGACAGGAGATGAAGAAGGGCAAGTCCCTACTCAGTTTTCTACATCAGCCACTCGGCGTTTCTCACAGACCGGGGGAAACAGGACGGCCGCCCACTGCGGGGGCTGTGGGTCCCAGGGGCGCAGAAAACAGGGGCCGGGGAGCCCGGACCAAAGCATGCCCTGGGGGGAGACGCTGCAGGCTCACTCATCCTGATCCACAAGCTGACCTTTGGAAGACAGACCCGCCAATCTAAGGGGAAAATCCCTGGAAAACACATCTCCCGACTGCACTGGCCAACCCCACAGCCCCTCGCCAGGGACTTGTTCTCCGACATGCGGGGCTACACTACATGGACTGCATATCCTTCAGCTCCCAAACCCCCTCGATGAAGATAACTGAGCCCTGCAGTTTGACCTCAAGGGGTCACCAGCCCCATCTGTTGCCCTTTCTTGACTTGGTTTCCAGACGGCACCGTGGGTGTGGCGGAAGGCGGGGCGGGGGATACCTGGGAAGCAGAGCTGCGGCAGGGCGAGCAGGTCCACGCCATCGGGGACACTAATGTCTTCAGGAGGGAGGCCCTTCCAGGGCTCTGTTTTGGGCTTGTCCCTCTTCTTCCTGAAGGAGCGCCTTCTGGCCTTGCTCAGAGTCGCAGAGGGGACGCCGGCCGTCTGACCGTCCTCCTTAGTGACGAAAGGAGGCACAAACACGGACAGGACCTCTGGATCGAGAGGAGAGGGGCCGCCGACCCCCTTCTTGAGGGACACCTGAAGCAGGGACAAATTCGAGTGAGCCACCGGGCGCGGGCCTCACCACCAGCGGCCCAGGACAGGGAGGAGCACGGAAGCTGCTTTCAGGAACCCGTGGGGTCACGCGCTCAGGCGAGTCACTCCACGGCGCGAGGTCTGGCTCTGCGGCTGCCCCTGGGCACACGGCCTGACAGTTCCAAGCCTGGCCGACAGGCAGACCCGAGCTCAAATCCAGCTCTGCTAGGACCGCAGCAGCGAACGCCGCATCCCTGAGCTTCCCACTCCAGGGGGCAGGGTCGCAGGTCAAGGCCTCAACCCCAACGCCCAGCACCGGACGCCCCACATGCCCTCAGAGGCTGGCGGGCGGGGGCCCCGCATGCTGTCCGGCCGCTGCAGATGGGGTGCCGACGCCCTGCCCCACACCAGCGGTCCTGTCACCACTGACCTGGGGACACAGACTGAGGGGTGAGCAGGACAGGCGGCCTCAGAGAGAAGAGACGCACCCTTCCTCCCGCAACCAAATGGTGGCCCGGGGTCTACACGATGGGGTCATTCGGACAGAACATTTGTAAACTTTAACTCGGTACCCGATTTTTACAAAACATTTCACGTTTTCACTCTTGCCCCCAGATGATAGAAAGAGCACGGGCTCTGCCCCGATCTCTGTTCTGTCTGGCTACGAATCCTGAGAGAGCCGAGTCTGCGGACACGGCTGCCAGGCTGCGTCCCGAGCCCCCAGACGAGGTCGACAGGCCGAGACAACGAAGTGGGCAGGTCAGCCCCATGCTAGCGGAGAAACAGAGAGGTCAAGGGCAGGAGTCGCTGGGCGGTAAGCATGTGGGAGGGTGGGAGGATGCCAGGGTGGGGTGGGCAGTGGGTGACAGAAGATCTCTGAGGGACTCAGGGCATCAGGAAGGACGTCACTGTCACTGGGAGAAACGGAATTGTCACCGGCAGGAAAGGGACAGCCAGCAACCCGGTTTCAGTAAGAATCGTGGAACCTAAGGGGAACTCTCCCTCTTGGAGGACCCATACCACGCCGCCGGTAAACATACATCAGAAAGCTTGTTTTTATGCTGTGTGATTTAAATTCAGGCAATGATTTCTTTATGTTGAAGAAAACGGTTAATACCAGTGGGAACAAAGACCAAACACGGGAAATCCATATTATTGGCTAATTTTTAAATCTTTGTGCATCAGGCATGAAAGGAAACCACGGATTGAGTTATATAAAACCTTTTGAAAAACTTCCTATCAAAATCCAGCACTCGGACCTATTTATCTATGAAAGTATGTGCATCCACTCCTTCCTCCCATCAAACATCACATCCGGGAGGACAGGGCACAGGTGGCCACACTGTGCAGTCCCTTTCCTGCAACCCCCCCTCTGCCCTTTCCCTCCGCCCTGGGCTCCTGGGTAGGGCACAGGCAGACTGCTCCTTCCAGGCTGTGACCCCCCCCCATCCCCGCCCCCCAGGGCTGACTCCTTTCCTGCCAATCCCAGACCACACCCAACGGCCTCCCAACATGACATACGCAGTGGGTCCCTGAAATTATAGCTTCAAAAATGAGTCTCCTGCTGATTTCCCTAAACCCCGAGCTTCCACTCCTGCACTCCGCTGTGACAGAGGCAGTGACCCTCGGGTCTGCGGAGCCGCCCCAGCTCCTGCTCTCACTCCAGCTGTGAACCCACACTGCAGGGCCGCTGGCCTGAAAGGTCTCCAAGAGCAGCCCCAGGGCCACCCCATCTGCATATTTCCAAACCTCGCAGCCACCTCGCCCATGGTTCAGAGGGGTTACAGATTCCCCCCAAACTCATCCTTCAAGGTTTCTGCCAGGAGGATGACATTGCCTCCTCCCACCGGACCCAGGGCACCCCACCTGCACCTCTGGCCACTCTCACAAACAGGGGGCACCTGGGGATTCAGTCAGTGAAGTGCTGCATTCGGCTCAGGTCTTGATTTCAGGGTCCTGGGATGGAGCCCCACATGGGGCTCCCTGCTCACTGGGGAGCCTGCTTCTCCCTCTCCCTCTGCCCCTCCCCCCAGCCGCTTGCGCATGAGCTCTCTCCCCCAAATAAATAAAAATCTTAAAAAAAAAAAAAAAGAAGACACATATGACCTCATCACATGTCCCAGCGGGCAGTGGCTCCTACCACCTAGGGCCAGCTTTTTACCTGCAGACCCTCTGACTGGCCCAAACCAGCCTCCCAGACCCTGCCCGTCCCTCCACCAGAATGAAAACTGAGTACGTTATTGTCACTACTACGTATCCCTTGTACGTATCACACGTGTGCCTGTGTCACAGAGCAGCACGACAACGTGGACCACACGCCTGAGCCGTGGGCCAGCCTGCTTCGGTGCCAGGGTGCCCCCAAAGCCGTGTGCCACTGAACCTCATTCTCCAGACACAAGCGCCCATATTCCAAGGCTTCTCCCTGCTCTCCACTCTGCCTGACACGTGACCAGCGCCCTCCCTGCTCCACCTTCATCAGGGACCCCCTCCCCTTCACCCCCACCGGAGGGAGACTTTCCTCACCTGAAACCAGACCATCAAGCCCCTGGCTCCTCCCCTCCTACAGCACCTCTTCCCGCCTCCCCACCCTCCTCCCCTCCTGGAGCACCTCCTTCCGCCTCCTCCTCCGCTGGCTCAGCACCTTTGGAGCACCGATGCCCGCACAGGGGAACTATGTCACCTTCAGAGCTGCTGGGAGGGAGAGGCGGGGACTGTACGGTTTCTCTCCCTGTCCCCAGTCCAGCACAGGAGACGGCTCTCAGCGGGTGCTGCCATCCCCCACAGCCTGGGCTCCGCGATCTCGCAGAGCACACTCAGTCTGCGTGGAACACGGTCGGTTCTCACGCTAACACCAATAAACTACCTCTCGCTCCCTCTACTCATCTGGCCGCTTAGAGTGAAATGGCCAAACGTCCGCTGACCGGGCACCTATAGCTCATCGCACACCGTCTTTCCTCTGAACGTATATCCTTGCTGTCTCTTCAGGCCGGGTAAGCAGCACAGTCTCACGTTTAAAAGCGAACGACAATGCGGGAAGAATAAAAGAACAGAAAGGCAAGACCTCCCCTGATTCTGAGAAACGGTGGTCAGTGCCCTGTGCAGGAAACACCGTCTTCCCACGTCTCCGGTGTTTATCAGCCTGAGCTCTCCCTCCACACCATCAGCGCCGTCCAACAGTTCCACCAGCTTTTTTCCCCACTTACGCACACAGCGCGGCCGACTTTCCTGTCACAGCTGGGACCAACCGGGGCCACTCGGGGATGACTCAGTAGCATACCCGCCCCGTCCCCTACAGAGGGACCGCGGTGTGCTCTCAGTTCTTCGTCACGCGTGCAATCTGAGCAAAGGCGGCAGTGGACAGTGCACTGCCGCACATCTGTACACGTCCGACTGCATAACCAGAGCAAGTTCCAGAAGGCACAGTCCTGGATCCCAGAGCATTGTGACTGCCCTTCCTCCCCTCCGGGCGAGACAAGGTCCACCTCCACGGACCGCTGACGCCCATTCTTGCTCTCCTCTCGCAGGCACTGATTTACTAAGCCTTCCCCGGTAACAACCATTTCCAAAAACCCGGAGCTAATAACAAAAAGTGAGACACACGACGCCCTGCCTCCCAGCGCCACGGATTTATTTCTACAGATTACAGAGTGGCACTGATCGTCGTACAGGATGGGTCATCATTCATGAAATAAGACGGGAAACAGATTTTTTTTTTAATGCTCTAGAACTGTGCTGTCCACCACCGTGAAGGGCCACGTGGCTATTGAAATTGAAATTAATTAAAAGTAAATGAAATTTCAAGTCCAGCTCCTCAGTGGCCACGCTTCAAGCACCTGGTAGCCACGTGCGGCCAGTGGCTGCCGCACTGGATGGCACAGATGAGAAGCACGGGCGTCATCACTCAGGAAGTCTGGTGGACCCTGCTGCTCTAGAAACCAAAGGCCGAAGGCCAGGACGCTCTCCAAGAACCGTTACAGTGTTGCCTTCGCACGCAAGAATTATGCTTAGTGACCTACTCTATGAACACTGGTCTCTGTCTGCTTGGAGGGCTAGCGGTGGTCCTTCCACACCCCACGCCTAGTTTCCACGGCAACCACAGGGTGCAGGGAAATGCAGGCCCAGAAACTCCCATGGGGCCCGACCTGTAGGCTCCAAGTCATTGCCACTAGCCTCCCAGAGCAAACACCACCCCATCCGAGAAATGAAATGGGAAGTTCGGACACCTCGCTACCCTCACATTAAGTTGGATGTTTTGCATACCTCTGGGCTTGTTCTGTCGCCAAGCAGGAATGCCTCAACCACAGAGAAATGGGGATTTTCAAAGTTATAAAAAAGCCTCGGACACTGGGAATAGAACTGCTGTAAGAGCAAAAGTAGCCAAGTGAAGTCATTTGTTTGGTTAACTGGAACGTCAGCACCGGCCTTGAAGGAGGCGCAGTCCAGGAAGCTGGGCCCATCCCGCCAGGCTGCCGTGCTCCTGCTCTCCGCCTCCTGCCGAACCCCTAACAGAACCCGCATGCAGGATAGAAAGGGTAAGAGTCAAAATGCAGAGCAGCAAGCAGCCCGCTCGCCTGGGAAAGCCGTGGCCTGTTTGGGTCAGGAAAGCACCCCTATGCACACCGAAGCTGAATCACCCCGCTCTGGAGACCCGTCTCACGCTGGGGCAACTGACACGTGTGTTGAAATCACCCAGAAGCAACTGAAACCAGGTCATTTCCTATGAGAAGAAAAAGGAGGAAATGCCATTTGGCAAAGTAGAGGCAGGGAGATAACTCGGTCACTGAGGGTCAGAGGAGACAGCGGTCAAAAGGGGATGCAGACGTGGGGGGGCGGGGGGAGTAAGAAAGGAGGGAAACCCAGAGACCATAGAAGTCAGCTCTGTATTAAAGTCAAGGAGATGGGGCTCCTGGGGGGCTCAGTCGGTGTCGGTGAAGCGTCTGCCTTCTGCTCAGGTCATGGTCCGGGGGGGCCTCGGATGGAGCCCTGCTCAGGCTCCCTGCCCCCTGGGCAGTCTGCTTCTGCTTCTCCCTCCGCCCCTCCCCCTCTCCTGCTCGCTCTCTCTCTCTCCCTCGCTCAAGTAAATAAATACAATTTTAAAAAATTAAGGAGATTAAGAGACATTTCTCCAGTTAATTTTTAGCCTATCTGGCTTCTCCTGCTGACCTCAGCCCTTCCACTCTGCCGCCCTAAACACGCCGGTGCCCTCCTGCACCTCCTCCGCTGTCATCCAGAACGAGATACGGACTTGCCCAGATAACTGGGCGGTGGAGCCGGTAACCTTGGAGTCCTCTGGGCATCGCCACCCACCGAAGAAAAATGCCACAGAGAGTCGTACGGACGTCCCGAGCCCAGAGAGAAGGCGCCGAGGGTCGCGCAACCAAAGTGAAGTGAGGGCGCGGGAAGGAGACGCGGACTGAGAGTGTCCCAAACTGCGCTTTCCGGGAAAGGGTGCGTCACTCCGGCTGCCCGGACACAGGGAAAGGGGGGGTGGGGGGTCGGGGGCGCAGCCTTTCGTGCGCGCGACCAGCAGCCAGGCTTCCCCGCGAACGGCCGGACGCGGGCCCCCAGGAGCGGCCCCAACACCGCCGCCCGCACCCAGGAGACGGCGAGTCCGGGCACGCGAAGGACCCCCTTTCCTCCGGGACGTGAAACCGCGCCCCTGCCGCACCCCTCTCCCTCCTCCCCGCCCGCCTCCACCCTGCCCAGGTGTGCGTCCCGGAGCACCGGCAGGGGCGTCCTCCGAGCCCGCGCTCCTCCTCGGGGCCGCTCCCGGAGCCGCAGCCCCCGCGACTGCTCCTGGCGGGAGGCAGCCACGTCCCCGCACCCGGCGGACCGCGGCGGGGGGTGAGCCCGGCCGGGGGCCCCCGCGCTCCGCCCCCACCGCGCAGACGCCGGCGAGCCGCGGCCGACCCGCGCCGCGACCGCAGCCGCCGCCCGGGCGCTCCCGCCTCAGTCTCCCCGCCGGCCCTTACCTCGGGGCCGCGGAGGCTGTCCCGGGAGGGCCCCAGCAGCGCGCACAGCTCCAGCAGACCCGAGGGCAGCGCCAGGTGGGACGGCGCGGCCTCCGCCATAGCTGCTTGGCGGCCGCGGCCCGCTGCGCGCACCCCGCTCGGGCGCCTCGGGCCGCCGAGCCGACCCCAGCCCCGCGCCCCGCGCCCCGCGCACTCGCAGCGCCGCCTGACACTGCACCCCGGCGCCGCACAGCCTGCAGCCGGGTCCGCGCAGGAGCCGTCCGCGGGGCGGGGCCTCCGGGGGGCGGGGCCGGCTGCCTTACCGGGGCCCGGGGGCGGGGCCTTCCTGGGGGCGGGGCCAGCGGAGCCTGAGCTGGCTCGGGGACGGGACCTCCCCTGGGGGCGGGGCCGGCCGCGCCTGAACTGTGCCTGGAGGGGCGGGGTCTCTCGGGGGCGGGGTCTGGCCGGGGCGTCCGCGGGGCCAGACGCCAGGTCGTCATTTCCGAATCGGTCCGCGGGTCCTGGCGCGTGCGTGCTAAGTGCGTGCTCAGCCCCCCCTTGGTCCCGCCCCGCCCGCCGCCCCCTTCCCGGCGAGCTGGGGAAGGACTGGTGGTGTCCACAGGTGGCGGGCGAGGGCGCCCAGACCCAGGGGCCGAGGGCGTGGAAGTCACCTGCTGTGGCGTGCCCCGGGGCCAGCCCTCCAGGGCGTGAAGAGACCCAGGAGCCTGGACCGCGGGGTGGGCCGGGCGCGGACGGCCGAAGGGGCTGGCGGGGAAGGGGTAGAACCATCCGTTCCCGGTTCGTAACAGCCAGGTTGACCTCGCTGGCCCTGTCCGGAGAGAGCTGGAGGGATGCTCAGCAAGGAACCCGGGATGCTCAGCAGGGAACCCGGGGTGGGCACCGCTGGAATGGATGGAGCCCGGGAGCGCCGAGAGGAGACAGGGCCCGCACCTGGCCAGCTCCGCACCGGCGCGATCCCGGGGGACCGTGGGCCTCCCCCAGCGGCAGACCGGGCTCAGGGGGCTGGCTTTCGTGCCCAGTCCCGGTCCCAGCTCTGCCTGCGCGCCGACCTTGGACACATCCCTACCCCTCTCCGAACCCAGCGTACGCATCGATAAAACCAAGCGGGTGGGACGCCTGGGGGCTCAGTGGGTTGACGGTGTGACGGGCTCCGGTCATGATCCTGAGGTCCTGGGACTGAGCCCCGCATACAGAGCCCTGCTCAGCCGGGAGCCTGCTTCTCCCTTTGCTGTTCCGCTGCTTGTGCTGTCACTCTAGCTCTCAGATAAATAAATAAATAAATACATACATACATAAATACATAAATAAAATCAAATCTTGGGGGGGGACCTCAGCGGGAAATGATTCCAAAGGAATGTTTCTAGTTCAAATAATCTATGATTCATTTTTTTTAAAAAACCTCAAATGCTTAATAATAGTGTCAAACATCTGTCATCAGCCTGAGAAGAAAGGGAACAAGGCAATGTCGGAATCACAGGGGGACGGGGTGGGCCTGGATCTGGGGACGCAGGGATTCCTCCATCCCTCCCGGCCTGCTGAGGCCCCTACCGCCTGCAGCCTGGCTTCCCGGATCTGAGTTTCACTCACTAAGTCACCTATTGGCTGTGGGTCACTGCTGGTTCTCATTTAGGTCTGAAGGCCATCGGGCGCCCCCGGATCTTACTGGTCTCCAGTGAGACAAGTAGTTATAGTCACTGATTTCAAAAGGACAGGTCTTGTTCGTCCTTGTCTGGCTCTCTCCATCGTGTTTTCACTCTTGGTGGACTCCGCACAGGGCAGAGTGGAGTTACCCGTGATTCCCCAGTGCTCGGAGAGGCTCACTGATGTGGCTTGGAGGCATGAGCCCCCCCAGGGAGGCAGCAAAGCCCTGGGCTCCGGGGATGTGGGCTGGAGCCTGGCTCTGTGTGAGCTGTGGGACAGCCAAGCTCCTCACCTTCCTGTTTGTTCAAATACGCTGGGTGTGGTCAGGATTCCGGGAGGTAAACACTTGGGAGCTGTCAAGAAGGCCCAGTGAGGCTCGGGCTAGAGCAGCGGCCTTTCCTCTAAGACGTGCAAGAGTGGGTTTGAGGAAAGGAACTCCGGGTAGGAATGGGCCCGGGCCTGGCTGCGGCCGTGCACGGAGCCGTGAGGTTCTGCTTCTCTGGGCCTCACTCCTTACCGCCCGAGAAAGCCTGAGGTCCTCCACGGGCTCCTTCCTCACTGTGTGCTTTTCCCTGAGTCCTGGAGAAAGCGCTGATGGGACACAGAAGTGCAGATAACCAGCCATCAAAGGCATAGGTGGAAAAGCCTCTTAAGGGTCCCCAAGAGGCAGGAAAGGCAGACGATGCAGGCGAGGGAGAAGGCGGCGCACATGGAGCCTGGCTAACAAGACCACCAGCGCAGGACGTAGCCGGACCCTACACAGGAGTCAGGGAAGGGGCAGCAGGCGCCGGCCCGAGAGCTCGCTGTCACTGTGCTCGCTGCACAGGGGCTCTCGCTGCGGGCATCCCCTCCCCCCCAATCCTGCAGAGCAGCCTTGCTGCTCTGTCTCACTCTCAGGATTACTGTGAAGAGCAAAGGAGAAAATAGATATGAAAATTGTTTGTAAACCGTAAAGGACGGAGGCAAAAATAGGGGGATGGGCATGCCGTTGTGAGTACGCTGAACCACACAAAACTGCCCACTCTGAAAAGGGTAATTTTATGCTCTGGAATTTCACCTCAATAAATTATTTTTTAATGGAGTTTATTTTTTTAAAGATTTATTTATCACCTAGAGAACGCAGGCTCGCCTGCGCGGTGTGGGGGAGGGGGAAAGGGCAAAGGAGAGATCTCCAGCAGGCTCCCTGCAGGGCTGGATCCCACAACCCCAAGACCACCACCTGCACCAAAACCAAGAGTCAGACGCTCCACCCACTGTACCGCCCACGGGCCCCTCTAAGGGGGTTAGAGGATACAGTCTCAAATCGTGGTGTATAGCAAATTCGCCTTGTGCATTTTAGCAGTGGTTTAGGTGTGAAAATTCTTTTAAATATAGGGAGTAGAGGGAAAGCTTCAGGACGTTGGATTTGGCAATGATTTCTTGCATATGATGCCAAAAACACAGGCAATGAAAGAGAAAATAGATAAATTGACTTCATCAAAATTTAAAGCTTTTGGGGCATCAAAGGACACTATCAAGGGCGTGAAAAGGCCACCCACCGAATGGGAGAAACATTTGCTTATTCCCTTATCTGTAAGACAGGGATGACGCCCACCTCACCCACTGCTGGAAAAATTGAACATCGTAGGGGCTGCGGAAGAGCCTCGTGCGGAGAGCGGGGAGAGCGGGACATTTGAATCTTTACAAGTCCGACTCTGGGTGTGGCCCCAGTGTCTCCAGCCCCGCCCCTCCCTGTGCCTCTCCTGCACCACCCAGACTTGCTCAGGGACCCTCCCTCCGCCCAAATGCATGGTGCTTTCCTCCTCCCTGCAGGCTCCCGGGTACACACATCCCCTGTACTGGCGGCACCTGCATTCTCCCAACTCCTCCCCCAGTGGGAGGGGCTGCCTCCCTCTGAACCCTACAACCCTCAACTCACCTTTCCAGCCTCCTCATTCTCAATCACCTGCTGCAAATCTTGATTCCAATATTTGCTAAGTATTTGACCTTGGGCCAGCGACAATCTCTCTGGGCCGCGAACGGAATAGTACTACCTACTTCTCAGGGCTGCTCTGAGGGCCAGCGTTGCACAGACCATGGCGATGGTCAGGTGCAATTGGCGTGGCCTTCTGTCCTCACGGTTTACGGGAATTATCCTCAGGGCCCGTCCTCTGGCTTCAGGATAAGTAGACACGTATGACCCAGAGCACAGCACGCGGACACGTGCACAGGCGGCCGAGCCCAAACCCTCGCCGCCGAACGCGCGCTCTGCGGCGTCTGGGGGCTCCTCGCCACGGGCGGGGGACTGTTCGTTCAGTGTTTGTTGTACATCCGTGTACACAGGCTCCCGCACACACAGGCTGGGATTTCAGCAGCGCTGGTGAGCGGACACTGAGCGACGGCTTCGTAGCCCGCCGTGTGTTCCTTTGCAATGTACAACGAATTTATTTTCACGCAGATGTGCGAAGGCTTCCAGCGGAAAAACAGATCTTCTCTCTTCCCTATGCTTTTCTGCTCAGCTACTCCGCTCGTCCTTTCTCCAGGGTCCAAATGCCCCAGGGGTATGTCCTCTTTCCACCCCTGGCAGCCTGGGTCAGCCCTCCCCTGAGGCTTTCCGGGCCGGCTCTCACCTCATCCTGCCTCCCACCCCGCGGCTTCCGAAGAACCTGCCGCCTTGCCCTTTGGCACCTTCACCAGACATTTGCCTATTGAGCATTTTCTGTTATTTCTTTTTGAATAAATTCATCCTGCAGGGTTCCAGGGCATTTTCCTCCCCCTTCCTTCGCTCGGTGTATGTCGAGCCCAAGAGACCAAGCGTTCCGGAAAGATCTGGGGCACCTCTCTCCTTCCCCAGCAACACGGAGCTGCACTACAACTGGTTGTTGTTGTTGTGTTTTTTTTTAATATTTTATTTATTTATTTGACAGAGATCACAAGTAGGCAGAGAGGCAGGCGGTGGGGGGGAGGGGGAAGCAGGCTCCCCACTGAGCAGAGAGCCAGATGTGGGACCCTGGGATTATGACCTGATCAGAAGGCAGAGGCTTAACCCACTGAGCCACCCAGGCGCCCCTACAACTGGTTTTTAAACCATTAAATTATTTATTCCTCGCAAAAATCCAGAGCCAAGGGCTCGCTGGTTTTCCATGTGAAAATATAAGCCAGGCTTTGACTTTTCTGGGTAAAGTTTGCATATCCTCAAAGAAAAACATGAGTCTGAATAAACAGTTTTCTCCAGGAAATGAGCAGACCAGCATGTTGGGAGAAAAGGTTCACCGTGAAGCACTGAGATGCGATCACTTTCCGGACCCAGGCCGTCTGAAGGCACTAGCTAGGAAGGCGCCTCACCCCCGAGCCTCAGTGTCCTCATTTCTGTTGGGGTGTTTATTGAGCACCTACTATAGGTCTGGTCCTATGATAGCAGCTGGGCGCACAAAGAATAAAACACAAGCCCTCCCCCCAGGAGCTCCTGGGCCGGCAGGGGCGCACCCACGGGAGACAGGGAGGCAGAGGCACTGAGGAATCAGAGCCGTGT